AAGAGAAGAGGAAAGTCCAAATTAAGAGTGAAGGCTGGTGGCTCCATATAACTGAGCTTTTACTGCAGGGAATGGAGGAGCTCTACAGCATTTATCACCCCTTGGGTGTGCATACTCTAATATTGTTATGCTAATGCTGCAACTGATTAGCATGCCGAGACACTGCAGTATTGGACCATTATCTCAGTGAATCCGAAATAAAATGCTCTGTGAGTGGATTTTCTCTGGTCATTTCTAAAATGCTGAATTGTGGAGCACTGAAAAGTGAAAAATATTTCTGATTTTCAAATGCATATATTATTATTATCAATTGAGTATTATTCCTGAGAGGGCTGTGCTTTATGCTTTTGTTATCTTCGATTATAAATGATCAATTAAAGATTATTCACACATTACATTCTGACACATTTATATTTGTAATGGCAGAATTGTCTTGCACAACTATATATCTGAAACCTTTAAATGGGAAATCAAGTAGTATTTATAGTATACATTGTGGGAAACGGACTATTGTTTTCCTTACAGCATTTTAGTTAAACTTTGCAGACTAATGACTAATGTCACACAGAGGGCTAGGATACTCTCTAGCACCATTACTACTGTACCACAAAGCAGAAAAGCAGATTCAAAACATGTACTAACAACTTCTGTCATGTGCTATCATCATAGGACAACGCTATTGCTTTGTGAGGACAAGCTGTCAGTTTGTGCATAGACTGTAGACAAAGGACCCAATTGCCGAATATTGCAGGTATAATATCAAACAAAAGGAAAGTCGGGCTGATCAAAGTTTCAAACAAGTTTCAAACATGATCCAAAAAGTCCAAACAGAGGCAAGGCAAGGCAAGGCAAGGCAAGTTTATTTGTATAGCACAATTCAACAACAAGGTGATTCAAAGTGCTTTACAGAGACATTAGAAACAAGAACAAATAAAAAGCATGATTTCAAATTGATTAAAACAAGCAAATAAACTAACTAACTAATTAACAAACAAACAAACAAACAAACAACAGTATATAAAATCAAAACAGATTAAATCAGAACAGTAGATAAAATCAGTAGTTAAATGTAAGTTTTGAAATTTAAGCTTAAAAGTGTGGATTTGGTGCTTTATTCAAATGCAGCTGAGAACAGGTGAGTCTTCAACCTGGATTTAAATAAACTGAGTGTTTCAGCTGATCTGAGGCTTTCTGGGAGTTTGTTCCAGATATAAGGAGCATAAAAGCTGAATGCAGCTTCTCCGTGTCTGGTTCTGACTCTGGGAACTGATAAAAGACCGGATCCAGATGACCTGAGGGATCTGGATGGTTCATACTGGGTCAGGAGGTCATTGATGTATTTTGGTCCTAAACCATTCAGAGCTTTATAGGCCAGCATCAGAACTTTAAAGTCTATCCTCTGACGGACAGGCAGCCAGTGTAAGGACCTCAGAGCTGGACTGATGTGGTCCACTTTTTTGGTCTTAGTGAGGACTCGAGCAGCAGAGTTCTGAATGAGCTGTAGTTGTCTGACTGATTTTTTAGGTAGACCTGTAAAGATGCTGTTACAGTAATCAAGCCTACTAAAGATGAATGCATGGACTAGTTTTTCCAGGTCCTGTTGAGACATCAGATCTTTTATCCTTGAAATATTCTTGAGGTGATAGTAAGCTGACTTTGTTATTGTCTTAATGTGTTTTTCTAAGTTTAGGTCTGCATCCATCACTACACCCAAATTTCTCTCCTGGTTTGTGGTTTTTAGATGTATAGATTGAAGTTCTCTGGTGACCTGTAATCGTTTTTCTTTGGCGCCAAAGACTATTACCTCAGTTTTGTTTTTGTTTAGCTGGAGAAAATTGTGGTACAACCAGTCATTGATTTCCTCAATGCATTTACCAAGAGCCTGTACAGGGCCTCGGTCTCCTGGTGACATTGTGATATATATTTGTGTGTCATCTGCATAGCTGTGATAGTTTATTTTGTTGTTGTTTATAATCTGTGCCAGTGGGAGCATGTAGATGTTAAACAGAAGGGGTCCCAAGATGGAACCTTGGGGAACTCCACATGTGATACTTGTCTGCTCAGATGTGAAGTTACCTATTGATACAAAGTATTTTTCCACTGTCTGTATTCAGACATATGTCATTAAACACTTTGGTCAGAGTGGTTTCAGTGCTGTGGTTCTGTCTAAAACCTGACTGGAAGGCATTGTAGCAATTATTCTGTTTTAAGAAGTAACTGAGCTGTTGAGAAACTGCTTTTTCAATGATCTTACTTAAAAACGGGAGATTTGAGATCGGCCTGTAGTTGTTCATTTGTGTCTTGTCAAGATTGTCCTTTTTCAGTATAGGTTTGATTACAGCAGTTTTTAGTGATTCTGGAAACACACCTGATAATAAAGAAAAGTTGACGATCTGTAACAGGTCTGACTCTAAAGTCTTTGAGACCTTTTTGAAAAAACTTGTTGGCAGGACATCTAAACAGCAGGAGGAGGAGTTCAGTTGACCTAAGATGTCCTCCAGGTCTTTGCTGTATAGGTTGAAACTGTTTCATGGTGTTTAAACAGTTTTTTGGTGGACACAGTACATATCCTGGATCTGCTGTTGATGTACCAATTGCTTGTCTAATTTTTTGGATTTTTTCAGTGAAGAATTTGGCAAAGTCATTGCAGGCCATGGTCGAATGAAGTTCAGCTGCCACTGACACAGGAGGGTTTGTTAGCCTGTCAACTGTAGAAAATAAGACCCGAGCATTATGGCTGTTTTTAGTGATGATGTCAGAGAAGTAGGACCTCCTTGCATTCCTCAGTTGTAAATTATAATTGTGAAGTTTCTCTTTATAAATGTCATAATGAACCTGGAGGTTTGTTTTTCTCCATCTGCGCTCAGCTTTCCTACAATCTCTTTTTTCATTTTTCACCAGTTTCTCCATGGAGACTTTTTCCTTCCAGAGATAACCTTCACCTTAATGGGAGCAATAGTGTCCATTACATTTAACATGTTAGCATTGAAACTATTGACGAGCTCATTGACTGACCCTCTGGGCAGGTCAGGTGTTAATGGGAAGACCTGGTTAAAAATTGCACTACTGTGTTCAGTTATACACCGTTTTGTGATCACTGTTGTTGATATATTTGTGTGGGCTGAGATTTTACTTTCAAAGAAAACACAGTAATGATCAGACAGGCCCACATCAGACACAGTAACCTTTGAAATGCTCAGGCCTTTGGAGATCAGTAGGTCAAGAGTGTGTCCTCTATTATGTGTGGCCTCTGTTACATGCTGAGTCAGCCCAAAGTTGCCCAGAGTGTTACTCAGGTCTTTAGTCCCTTTGTCCTGAGGGTTGTCCACATGAATGTTAAAATCCCCAGCAATAATTACACAGTCAAAAGACACAGTCAAAAGACACAGTCAGAGACATAAAAGATACCAGGAAAAGCAATTTACAAGAACATGCCACCAAACACTCAAGATTATATAACAAACACAATGACAATGGACGCTTGGAGTACTGGATACAGGAAAGAAACCACACTAGATAAAGTCTTGATCAAAGTAAAACCAGAAAATCCTAAAAGACATAAAGCTAAACATGCATACAAGAAGATTTACACTAAACACGGAGACTGTGAGAAAACTAAATATGAGAGAGAAAAATAGAAGCTGAAGCTAAATAAACACTCAAAATACAAAATACAAAGTTGGCTATAACAGGCACCCAAAACTAAAGTGCAAACTAGACAGGAAAAGATATCACTATAATATAATATAATATAATATAATATAATATAATATAATATAATATAATATAATATAATATTTACAGCTTTTTGTGTTGTTTATTATTAGTTGATGATTCTGATGATTATGCTGAGGGAATGTCCTGTATTTGACCAATACATCCACTATAACCTAATCTTTATCCTTGTGGATAAATCATGTGTGGAATATGTCTACTTATTTATAAACTGTAAAATGTATAGAAGTACTATAAGTGCAAGTCTTCGGTCCCCAAAATCATCAAAGAAACATCAAATCAAATCATTTATTTCCCTCGGGATGAATAAAGTATTATCAATCAATCAGTCAATCAAAGTTCATTCTTCATTTATTCAGTTTGTAACCTTCTTGTTTCGGTTTACTCTCACTGCTTTCAAATATTTCCTCAGTTTTCCATCCTCTCTTAGTTTTTGTCAGATTTTAAGTTTTTATTTACTAGACGTATCAGATTACTTCAATACAAATCTATTCCAGAGACCAATTTGTTGTTTTCATATTTTTTTAAATGGCAATTGTCAGGCTTAAGTGCCACTAATGCAATCCAATCACAGCTGTTGCCCCAGAGTGTCAGCTGCATTGTGTGATAAAGTACTCTCATCATAGGTTCTATGACAGAAGAGTAAAGCATTGTTACCATTTCACTGTAATTTATCTAAAACTAGAAACCATCCTGTGTTATTCCTGTCACTGTCCAATTAAATACAGAGAATTTGAGGCTGCACAAGTATCACAGGTCTACAGATGAAGCAGAAGCACACTGATGAAAAGTAAATAATTTTTTTAAACTGCAGCTATATCCTTTATATAAACAATAACTAGTTGTCAACCCTTGGAAAACAAAATTAGCAGCATTTTATGTGAAAAAAATTCTAGTACATTCAGACTTCTCTCTTGCTTCAATAGAAAGCCAAAATGTTTCATTAACTTGTGTTCTCTTTTGTGAATGAAAGCAGAATTACCAATTAAAAGAACTAAAGCACTACCCTGCAATCAACAGTTCAGCTGCCATATCCCATTGGAGACTATAGTTTCCTCACCAAATTGAAATGGTTGCATGTGTGTCTTATTTGCACATAAACAGCATATCACACTGTTATTAGCAGTCTCCAAGAGAATAAAGACGACTAAAATACCATGAAAAATGTCAAAAATATTTTGTGGTGTGTTTTCTACATTAGTCTCAGAATGTGAATTTGCTGACATTTGCTGAAAAATTTTTTTGTTTGTGTGTTTTATTTTTAGGTCTACCAGCACTCTTTCCTGGCATCATACCTCCTCTACAATCTATACACAAGGTAAGGAAACATAGAAATAAATCCTAAATAATATAATGGGATGATTTCTTTTTCAGTTGACCATCCTTTAAGAGCACCAGTGTCACACATCTTAGGACAAAAATGTCAGCATGCTAGCTTTAACAGATGAATATAATCTTATATAATATAGGTTAAAAGTTAAACTGATAGTGCAGAGCTAATGTTCACCTCACTGAGATTTCAATGACAGTGTGTCAGTGATTGCTAGACTGATTTTGTGATACTTTTATCATTACCATTACATCAGGGAGGTGCGGGAGCTCAATCCTCCAGAGGTGTCTGACTCAGTGCTCCAGTTTGCTTCATGGGGTGTTCGGGGTCAACAACTGGTAAGTGACTGTAGAGCTTTATAAAGGTCACTAAATCTTAAAACAACCATGCTTGAATTATATTCTTAAGCTTTTATTGATTCAGTGGTTAGTTTACCTCAGGATTTATTCCCTTGGTTTCCATAGGCTTTCCTGGATGCTTGGTTTATAGGTTGTCACATTAGCTAAAGCAAAGCTGCTCTTCCTGAAGTCCACCAAAAATTTAAAATGTAATGTTGATGTAAAACTGTTGTTAAAGGGTTTTATACACAGCCCCACACTTTCAGAGGCTCAAAAAAGACTGAATAACTGATTGATGAGCAGTTTTGTTATTCACTGAAGCTCTCAATATGAGGTCCACAGGAATGTCAAGGCAAGTTAGAGATGCAATCACTGGGACAAAGAAACTTTAAACAAATCTGTCACAGAGATAAAATCAAGAATCTGGTTCATTCTTTAAAACAAGAAATGGACACAACAAGGACCCCTTCACAACATCTAACTGAGTGAAGAGCATTCTTGTGCATCGTTTTCTGTCTACAGTCCAGAGATACTTTTATGAATGGAAATACAAAAGGCTCCAAAACACCGGATAAACTCAGAAACAATAAGGCAAGATTAGAATGTGCCAGAGAACATCTGAAAGAGCCTGCAGAGTTCAGAAAGAGAAAACAATCCTTGGAGAAATGAAACCAAGATGAATTTGTATCAGAATGACAGCAAGATAAAAGTATGGACAAGGAAAGATAAGCAAAGCAAAGCAAAGGCTTCAAACTGGACACATTCAAAACCAATCCATTATTCAACATCTATTTAACCACTGATTGCAACCCGTTAAATGTAACTTATCACACTGCATTTATTTGGTATGCATCTCTTCCTCAGCCATTGCAGCACAGATCATTCCAGCCCATAATTCTTTTCATCTCATAAATATTACAGTTAAACAAATGCATGCAAAATATTCACAATAAAATCCTGCCTCTGGATATGAAAAACAATGCATAAATAAATTATCCTTGAAGAGTCAGAAATCATAAACTATATAAAATGTAATTTGATATACAAGTTTAAGCTTTTCCAGTGACCACCCAGACTGCAAATGAGCTATATCCCATCCCATCATGAATTTCTTAACATTGCTTTAGGCTTCAGGCATTTAGAAATAATTGAGACACAAATCAATTGTCAAGCTAAAAAAGCAAAAGCAAACATAATGTCATTCATTTTCAATCAGAAATGAAAAAGATTTTTTTTGCATCTCCATTTAGAATTGTTGCTTTTAGATCATTATGAAGTCAAAGTTTCGATAAGTCATTATAGGAAAAAAAAACACTGTAATTGGCTTGTTTTTCTCATTTTTCTCTGTGAAGTCTAGCCCCAGTGCAATCAAAATATTTAGTATTTTGGTGTTTATTTTTGTATTTATTTATTTATATCAAAAGCTAACTAACATTTTTTAACATTTTTCCCAACAAGTCAATTTTGCCTTCTTCAAATGTATATAGTTATGATTATTACTAATGATGACATAGATCTCAGAGGGTCAAACTGTTAATATTTGTGGATTCAAAGATGCAATAAAAGCTATTCAGTTCAGAATGCAAAAAAACAAAAAAAAGAAAACAAAAGAAAAAGAAAAAAAAAACTAGAAATCCAAACCCACACACTAAATAATGCAAAGTATCGAGCACCATGGGAAGGACACAGATGCTTCACAGATGGACAGAAATAAAGACCTGGACTAAAGGGAAGGATAGCATTATACACACACATACGCACACACTGAGGAGGACCGAGTGAGAATCTGGAAGGAAAGCAGGCATGGTTGAAGATAATCAAGACAATAGCAGGGAAAAAGTAAAAGTCAAACACGAGAGACAGCAGCAAACTATCAAAGCAAAGCAGGAAGTGGTCACAAAGAGAAGGAAACTCACACAAAATAAAATATAGAAGAACACTGGACAGGCAAGAGTGATGTAAATCTTCTTATTATTTCATGAATCATGTTTTACAGGGTTAAGACATAAGATTAGGACAAAGATCCAAAATATAATCAACACAAGAATTAACCCTCAAAAAATAACAGCCAATGCTTCAAATACTGGAATACAGAAACCCAAACTCGAATCTATTAACTAAGCATTCAAATCCTAAACCATCAGGACCAGAATATAAACTAGTTTTTGATATTTTATACATCACACGATGATGCAATCAGTGGAGAAAGTGATCAGCAAAAGAACTCAAAGATCTGTGAACAGAATGAGATGGAGCCCAGGCCTTTATGCATGCACAAAGGTTTGAAATTTTTCTTTGCTCAGCAGGGAGAAAAAACAAAACAAAATCCTGAATAAAGATTGTTTGTGACTTGAGAGAACAGACAAACTACTATGAGGTGCCGTAAGGGACATTATTACTGAAACGCTCTCACACACACTACTGAAACGCTCTCACACACACTACTGAAATTTTAGCTCTCACACACACAACTGAAATGCTCTCACACACACTACTGAAACGCTCTCACACACACTACTGAAACGCTCTCACACACACTACTGAAATTTTAGCTCTCACACACACTACTGAAACGCTCTCACACACACTACTGAAACGCTCTCACACACACTACTGAAATTTTAGCTCTCACACACACTACTGAAACGCTCTCACACACACTACTGAAACGCTCTCACACACACTACTGAAATTTTAGCTCTCACACACACTACTGAAACGCTCTCACACACACTACTGAAACGCTCTCACACACACAACTGAAATTTTAGCTCTCACACACACTACTGAAACGCTCTCACACACACTACTGAAACGCTCTCACACACTACTGAAACGCTCTCACACACACTACTGAAATTTTAGCTCTCACACACACAACTGAAACGCTCTCACACACACTACTGAAATTTTAGCTCTCACACGCACTACTGAAACGCTCTCACACACACTACTGAAACGCTCTCACACACACTACTGAAATTTTAGCTCTCACGCACACTACTGAAACGCTCTCACACACACAACTGAAACGCTCTCACACACACTACTGAAACGCTCTCACACACACCACTGAAACCAGAGGCATTTCTGCTGAACAGGAAGTTGTTTCCTGACAAGGAAACTGATGGAAAAAGTGGTATATTTCAAAACACTACAAGGATTTCTACTCAGCAACCTGCTAGTACAGCAGTCCCCAACCTTTTTTGCGCCACGTAAACAATATAAAAATAAAAAAAAACGATAAATACCATGAAAACCATAAATAGAAATGTGTTCGAATTTTTGTGGAGGAATAAAACCCATTACATAGAAAGATCTCAGCTTGTGAAGGGATACAATAAAGGTGGTATCAAAACTCCAGAATTGGAATTTATGGTTGGCACCCTTAGAATTAAATGGTTAAAATCTTGTCTGTCACAGCCAGACTCTACTTAGCTCCACATCCCATGATTCTTGTTTAATAAAATAGTATACAGGATTAGAATTTATTCGAAATGTGATTTTGCGGCAAATAAAATCCCCATAAAGATATCAAACTTTATAAAACAGACGTTGCATTTTTGGGAAAATGAGATTTACCCACAACTTCTCCCCATAATTCAACCTTATGGAATAATAGGGTAATAACACTTAATCAAAAATCAATTTTCAAGAGTGACTGGTTTGAACAAAAATATTATATTCATAACAGATTTGTTGGATGATAACGGTGTCATTCTAAGTTACACAGACTTTTCAGAAAAATATTGTCTAAACTGTTCTCAAAGAGAATATAACAAATTTTGTGAACTGGTCCCACTGCCTCTGCTTCATTTGATTAAAATTTTTATGATATACAATAATTTCTCATCAGTGCTCCCAAATTTATTGCTAGGGCAATGTCAGCTGTTTGATAAAAATGCAATAAGAAATTTGTTAGTAGTTTCTTCAAAGACAAAATATTTCATAGTTACAACAGAATGGTTACATGGCATGGTTCTAATTTAGTTATTTCATATACACTGGATAAAGCATACTAAAAATTTATGAAATAGCCTATTCTACCTAAAGTTAAAGAAACACACTTTAAACAAAACTAATACTGTGGCAGAATTTCTAAAAAAAGAGATTTGGCTTTGAGGTGGATCAGTGTTCTTTTTGTACTGATGAAAATGAAACCCTAGAACATCTTTTTTTTCCCTATGCCCTATCAGACAATGTATTTGGTGCAACTTAAAAAATTGGATTTCCCTAAATATTAATGATGTGCCACTGTTTGAATTACATCATAATTTTTTTTATATGGATCATCTAGCATTGGATGTCTCAGACATTATTAACATCATCATACTTTTGGGTAAATATCATATCCATTGTGCTAAATGGAGGAACGCTAAGCCTTCTCTCCCTGGTTTTATTGATGATTTTAAGATATTTTTCTTTGCTAAAAAAAAGACAAAAAGCACATATGCCAAAAAAATAACCAGGATAATGCACGTCTCCCGCTATTCTAAATTTTGACTTATGCTGAGGCTAATATATTGTTAAGTAATGCAGCTGTCTCACTAAGGTCCAGAATCGATTTGTTCCATGATTCGATTCAATTCAATTCGATTTGATTATGGGGAATTTTGACAGTCAGAAATATTATAATTCAGATCAGTACATTTACATATTTTTGTATTTAAAAAAAGGAAGCTGACACACGCAAGACTTTATCAAAGGTGTGAGCATCACAGCAGATGCCTTTGTGTCAAACTAGCTGAAGATAAAACACATAAAAACATGAAGGTGGTTTTCCTGGCCTGGGATTTTATAAAAAATATTCTGCAGTACATCAAAAACGAAAGAAAACCATTAATCAACATATGAACGTTACCTCTGACGTTACAGCGGTTTTATTAGAGACACGGCTAACGTTTTGCATTTTGCATAATTTAAAAAAGTTTAAATTTATTCAGTATTGAACGGCAGAAATTAGGTTTTCTTTTCGGAAGTATGTAAAATGAAGAAAAAAAAAAAAAACAGCGGCCGACTGCGCTGTAAACAACAGTAGACTTGTGCATAACAAGCAAGCGAATAATACAGAAAACAGATTTTTAGACGGGAAACTGTTCTTGAAGTACAGAGAGAGAGAAAGAGAGAGAGAGGGCTGTGCATGACGTGCGATTTTATCGTGGTGGAAGCAAAACAGTGAGGGAATTCATGACGATGTTTATGTGAAGCGCAGTTTGGATCTTCTTTTGCTGCTGGTTCAGTCAATATTGTTTGGAGAGAGATCAAACTAACAGCTTTAGAATCGGCGCAAAAACGGCGTGAAAACAAAGCGCGGACCTGCCGACAGATCAGAGTCAGCGAGCTGTCGGCTTTCAGCCCCGACCGTGTCCGTGCTGTCGGGTGAGACAGGCGACATCTCACTGATTCTGATCCGCGGGTCCGCGCTGTGTGTTTACGTCTTTGTGCAGAAGCCGTGTACCTGCTCTCATTTACTGTCTTAGCTGTTTGGTGGTTGTTGAAATTTTGTGAGGTTTCACCAGAGATTCTGGCATTTCGGGTAAAATAAATTTATATTAAAAAATCGATTCAGGATTTTAATGAATCGATTTCACGTTATCCAAGCCAGAATCGATTTTAATCAATAAATCGATTAAAAAAACCCACCCCTAACTAACAGGTTGCTGAGTAGACATCTGTGTAGTGGTTTGTTTGAAATCTAACACTTTTTCCTTCAGTTTCCTTGTCAAGAATTAACTTCCTGTTTAACTGAAATGCCTTCCTGTTCAACTGAAATGCCTTCCTGTTTAACTGAAATGCCTTGGTTTTTCAGTAGTGTGTGAGAGCGTTTCAGTAGTGTGTGTAAGAGCGTTTCAGTAGTGTGTGTGAGAGCGTTTCAGTAGTGTGTGTGAGAGCTAAAATTTCAGTAGTGTGTGTGAGAGCGTTTCAGTAGTGTGTGTGAGAGCGTTTCAGTAGTGTGTGTGAGAGCTAAAATTTCAGTAGTGTGTGTGAGAGCGTTTCAGTTGTGTGTGTGAGAGCTAAAATTTCAGTAGTGTGTGTGAGAGCGTTTCAGTAGTGTGTGTGAGAGCGTTTCAGTAGTGTGTGTGAGAGCTAAAATTTCAGTAGTGTGTGTGAGAGCGTTTCAGTAGTGTGTGTGAGAGCGTTTCAGTAGTGTGTGTGAGAGCTAAAATTTCAGTAGTGTGTGTGAGAGCGTTTCAGTAGTGTGTGTGAGAGCGTTTCAGTAGTGTGTGTGAGAGCGTTTCAGTAGTGTGTGTGAGAGCTAAAATTTCAGTAGTGTGTGTGAGAGCGTTTCAGTAGTGTGTGTGAGAGCTAAAATTTCAGTAGTGTGTGTGAGAGCGTTTCAGTAGTGTGTGTGAGAGCGTTTCAGTAGTGTGTGTGAGAGCTAAAATTTCAGTAGTGTGTGTGAGAGCGTTTCAGTTGTGTGTGTGAGAGCTAAAATTTCAGTAGTGTGTGAGAGCGTTTCAGTAGTGTGTGTGAGAGCGTTTCAGTAGTGTGTGTGAGAGCTAAAATTTCAGTAGTGTGTGTGAGAGCGTTTCAGTAGTGTGTGTGAGAGCGTTTCAGTAGTGTGTGTGAGAGCTAAAATTTCAGTAGTGTGTGTGAGAGCTAAAATTTCAGTAGTGTGTGTGAGAGCGTTTCAGTAATAATGTCCCTTACGGCACCTCATAAACTACCCTTAAACCAAACAATTATTGTGAGGAGAAGGCAGTTTCACTAATCAAGCTGTTGCTGCAAGACATCTTGTTGGGCGACTGGAGCTCTCTGTGTGAGTAATGCCTCCAACGTGCCATGCATCATGCACCGAATAATCAGTCCATTATTTTCTCCAGTGAAGACAAGGAAGGTAATTAAGCATTCGATAGCATATTTATCTCGTTTCCTCAGTATTTATACCTGCCCCCAGTGGAAACTGTTCACCAGGAAGCCCTGCAGCAGTGTGTCATGGTGCTAATGACAAAGTAGTTTTCATTACTTATGAGCTCTCCCATATTTATCTGTGTTAGATGAGCCACTCTCTGAGTGTGTTTTTATCAATGGACCAGTCGCAGTGATCCTTTACCTATTTGTTCAGTGGAGGTGTTCCATCACCTTGGCCCAAAAAGAAATTGGGCCATAATTTTAAAACTAGTACATGTCTAAAAAGCAATGCATCTTAAAATACATGAAATAAATCAAGCTTGGGGACATAAATACAAGCTGGTATTATCTTTCTCTTGTTTTCATACATTACGGTATCTTCTCTCTTTTGTTTACTTAATACATTAACTTTTTTATTTCCTCTATTCCACAGGTGTACATATTTGAAAACAACATCTACTATCAAATGGATGTTCAGAGCAGCTCGTGGAGGCTCACGTCATCTGGGGAGGAGGGGGTTGTCTTCAATGGCATCTCAGACTGGCTCTATGAGGGTACGTATGAGGCTGCAGGGTCGCAAACTGCCACAGAAAAGTTTCTGCTTTTTAGTTCACAGCTACTATTCTGTAAGATTCTGCATGCCTCTTCAAGAAATCTTTGTAATGAAAGTACAAACACTAAGATCATTTTTTTATGGACTACATTGTTTTTGTTTGATTTGTACCATCCTATCTTAATCTACTATACTATACTTAATGTACTACTATCTTTTCTTTTTCTATTATTATCTTAATGTTAAATCCTAAACATATATTAACATCCTATTATAAGAAGTATGTACCATATCTCCTCATCAACAAGCAGGCCAATCTGAATGAAACGTTCCACAAACATTGTCAGACATTTTCCTGTTGTTGATGTTGTTGTGTATTCATCATCCCCCTGCAATCAGCAATGCAGTTTTGTTCAAGTCACCACTAAATACAGACACTGGCCTGCAGGTTTGGTGATAACTAGTTCAACTCACTCAAAGAACCTTCAGAGAACTTCTGTCCAAACCTTCTGCCACTTTTAAGCTTTGTAGTGTTAGACTTTTCAGAGTTTCATTGTGTAGCTCCTTGCTGATGTTTTACATAAAATGTCTGTTAAAACGTTTATTTTTAAGTGCTGAACAGACAGATATTACCTTCAGACAGATATTTACCTGGTAGAGAACAAAAACAGAAAAAAGACGCTGAATTTCAAACTCATTGGTCATCATGGAGAAATTATAGGAGAAATGGATGTGGTAGTCCCACTCAGCCTTAGTAATGTGCAATAATGTACAGTAACCACTTATTAAGAAGGCAACATGTATGCAGCTGTGGAAAGAAACCTCTATATGGGCAAAAGGTTCTTCAGATCACTGCTGATGAGATCGACAAGAGGTAACAACAGAAGCAAACTGATTTTAGAAGTCCCTAACCTAAGTCTTCTTCAATCTGTCATGTATGCTGGCACTGGACTCAAAAGGCAGGACTCTGAACTGTGCAATCAAACAAGTGGGTTTATTTACAACACCGGTGATATGTACATATGTACAGTGAGATGGGGAGAAGAGGGCTCCAGGGATTCCAAGGCTAGGTCCAGAGGTGGGAAAAGGGGAACACACGCTCACACTCCACTATGTACAATCCAAATCCAGATTCCACACCGTCCACTCCAACACTACGCTCACTCTGGAGAGTGAATGCTCAACTGGGAAGGGTCCAGGGAAGACAGGTTCAGGTCTATACAAGGGAGATTGAGACAGATATCAGAGAAACACTCAGGAACACAGGGAGATCAACAAGAGACTAAGCCAGGGTACACTAACACTAGTAAGTGCAATGCTCCAGTGAGGCACACCACTCCAACCAGGCTCCTTAAGTATGGTTGGTGTTTATCAGCCGTGATAAGCCACACATGCGTGTGCATGTCTGTGAAGATCAGGTGACCACTGGAGTCAGGCAACACACCCCAGGACAGCCACTGGTGGATCATGACATAATCTTTTACAAAAATAAGCTTCTTTTCATATACAGACTTCAACTGCCCAAAGATCAGGACCAGAATGAGTGTTTTATTGTAGCAGATCTTGGATACAGTTACAGTTTAAGTTCAAACCAACCTGATAGGACTATTATCTGTGCGTTTTATTATTTGAGTTTGTTTTATTGTAAATGCATCCAAATAAATGCAAATAATATTTTTTATTTTTATGCAGTAAAACTGTACTTTGTTTAAAGTCTCACCACTTTTCATTTAATTTTAAAAAGTTGATGTAAAAATCTGAGTATTGTGTACATTGCATTTAAAAAAATAACTCATTAAACTTCCATTTCTTTTGACTTGGGCTTTCAGATTGTTTTGGTTTGTCTTTGCAGAGATGGTACTGCACACTCAGGTGGCCCACTGGTGGTCACCAGACGGCTCCAGATTGGCTTACCTCACCATCAACGACTCCCTGGTCCCTACAATGTTCCTCCCCCGTTTCACAGGCTCCCTTTACCCTAGAGGGAAAGAGTATCCTTATCCAAAGGTGGGACTCATAAAAGTCAAGCTTAAACTGTGTTTAATTATAAAATTAAAGGTAGTAAAAACTTGACATCACTGCTCTGATGCTAGGCTCAGATGTGCTGTTCCACCCAGAATAACCTGCATTTAGAGTAGTTGGTACTGTATAACCAGCTGAATCCACTATAACCTGAAAAGAGGATAGTGTTCTTTTTTATTGCAGCTATATTGTATCAAACCGGTGCGATCAGTAATACAACTACTGGCTCTCTCCTTAAGCTGATCCATAAAGGTTAGCGAATCCTTTTGTTGTTTAATTCATGCTAGCGCTGCCTTGCTCCCTTTGAAGAGGGATGGCTGCAGGAATCTGTGGCACTGGGAGGGAAACAAGCATGATACGCTTCAGCAAGGCAAGTTAACACACCTCCCATCTCTTGATGTGGATGTTTAGCGTATCAAATGCCTTTTAGATGGGAGATTGGTTGAGGAAAACTGTCAGAATGAGGGTCATAAGGTGGAGGGCAACCTCATTTGTTGGTTTAGACCTGACCACAGATGGGGAGGACTGGAAGGAAGATGTGTTGTTAATGAAGCACTGCTCCTGATCTTAGAATTGCCCATCCAGTGAATAAAAAAAACCCTACATTGACATTTTGTTGCTTACACCCTTGAGAGAGGTCAGAGTTGAGATATTATGGGACTAAATGAAGCAGAGATTTAATTGCTTTCTCATTCATTTTGTCTTTGGGAGCAGTGATGCTGCTCGGCAGTCTGACAGTTATACCTCTGGGCCAGTCACTATGGGTTAAATTTGTGTGGGTGTCTCCTCTGTGAGTGAATACATGGTAAAAAGCACACCCCAGTGGGAGTCTTTTATGGACACATTATTAATAGTGACAAACTGTTCCACACTGCACCCTGGCCTATGCTAGATTTTCCTGACCAGCCTCAATGTGTGAACAACAAGGCCAGAGATGCACATTGGAAATGCAGTATTACGGTCGTCTCAAGAATTGTATCATAACTCAGTCCACAATCGATGATATTGCTATGGTTTGTTTTTATAGGCAAATAATTTAAGAGAAAAATGAGCCATTAACCAGCCTATGTGGTCGGTTGGATTTTGGGAGTGTAAGTTTCTGTACAAACAGGTCATTTGAGCTGAAAGCTAAGCAGCTCACCATAAAAATGTTTGCATTTATGTGTTGTTTTTAATATTCATCATCTCATTTTATCATGTTAGCATGCTTAAATTTGATAATTACATTGATAGTAGATAGCACAGTCCCACTCCTGACTTAATGAATCATTAGTCAGAACTCCTTAGCATCATATTTGAACAAATCCAAAGTATAAGTTTTTAATGTGCATGGTTAAAGTTGTGATCAGGCAGATTTTAACTGAAGCCACACTTTTTCTGAACACAGCTGAGCAGTTGTGGTGCTCAGAGTATTAAAGCGAATCTCCTAAATGGGATATAAAATTGCAGTTTGACAGAGGGGATTTTTGTGAGTGCTTAAACAGTTTAGAGGTAGACGTTGTATGTTTAAAGGTAAACCAGCATTGGTACAGTTGCATATGGAAATTTTGCTAAAAGCATGGTTTGCTAATGGTTTCACTGCTAAAGGAACAAATAAAGTAGGTATCTAAAGAAATGTATATTGGTCGTTAACAGCTGCAAACAGATTAACAAGTGAAATTAATGTAACAAATATGATAGGATACAGTTCACTACTGTGAGAAATTGGCAACCAGTACAGACAGTATACTACCTCTTACCCTATGAGAGGAAGGGCTAAGCTACACCCACCTTCCAACTTGATATTTTATGGCCGGAATAGCCGGGGTGTTTGTACGGCGAATCCAAAAGCAGAAAAGGGAAAGACGGAACTGAATCAAACTGAACACGTACATGGGAAACATGAAACTGAGCAGTAGAAATAAAACTCTGTGACATGACTTGACGTGGAGACAACAGACAACCCAACAAAGAACAGAGGGAGATAGAGGACTTAAATACACAGAAGGGTAATGAAGGAAGCAGAAACAGCTGGGGAGACACACTGAACATGGAAACACTAGACCTTTTCAAATGAAAACAGGAAACATAGAGAGACACAGACATGACAACCAAACTTGACAATAGGACGTGGAACACACAGACATGAATTACATGACAGACTCGGGGAACAGAAAGGAACACAGGGAGAAGGACATGGGCAACGGATAAGGGAGACAAGAGGGAGAGGGAAACACAAGGGGAACCTGCATAGACAAGGAGCTCACACATGACAAACAGGAAAAGACTCATGAAGGCTAAGACATAGATGAAACATAGACTACAATACCACTCAACTAAACCCTAACTAAATAACAACACAAGTTTGCATTCATGCAGGTAACATAAGAAAATCAAAAATACAAAATAAACTCAAAACGTTGGGTCACAGACCCAGCCCCTGACAGGATAAGTGCTTAAAAAATGTATGGATGCACGGACGGATGGATGGTTAAAATGGTTAACTATGACTTAGAATTGCTAAACACAAAATTATAACAAGGCCACCTCAGCTAAAAACATTAAAGTTGTTGTTGAGGGTTTGGGGTTCTGGCTGAAGGGACCTTAAGATAAAAGACAGTTGGTAATCATCTCTCAATATTTTGATTATCACTGGTTACATAAACTACAAAGTAGTAAGTTACTGGGTTACAGTAGTAGAAAGTATATAAAAAACATTACTCTTGCTAGTTTTCAGATGTGCTTATTTCATCAAATTACTGCTCTATCATGTCTTACCTTTATGTGGCAAATGTGATCAACAGAACAGGATGGAGTTTTCCCCCCCAAAAAATGTATCTTCACAAGAAAAGAAAGTGAAGGATTGGAGAAGACATGAATTACGACAAATTACTGTCATCTTTGTGATGTGTTGCTTTGTATTTTTGAGATTTCCTTTGTCATATAGACTAATGAGCTCCATTTTTGAAGGATGCTTAAGTGAAGGGAAACAACTGACATGCCCAAGGGGCTGCACAGTACGCAGCACAGTTTGTTGTCTACCTTTTTAATATTCTCATTGTATTCCCTTGTGAAGTCCTATTGGCATAAATGAAAGCACATAAAAATAGCAAACAATTACTCAGTGTTGACTCCGATCCCTTCGTTGTGTGCAGTGTATTGTGGGTTTTTACATCAGATTTGATTAGGATCCTGAATATAATGATAAAGTTATGGTGTGTTCACTTTAGATGTGCCAAATCAATCCGTCTGTCAGACTCTATGTCGTCACTCTGGATGGCAGCGCTCTCACAACTGAACTGAAACCTCCTGACAGTTTTGAGAAAAGGTATGACTTAACCCGTTTATGGGACGTAACACTAAAATTTTGATGATTCGGGCTTGTTTTAGACACCATTTGCTTGTCTTCCCTAGTGAGTTTTACATTACCATGGTGAAGTGGGTGACAAAAGAGAGACTGAGCGTACGCTGGGTGAATCGAGCTCAAAACATGTCTATTCTTTCACTGTGTGATGTAACACAAGACATCTGTACAAAGGTTAGAAACCTAATTATCATCGATAATTCCTTAATCTTCAAAAACATAGTAAATATATACAGGTTTTATAACCTTATTTATCTTTTCAATTCAGAAACATGTGATGACATCGGACAAGTGGCTGGATCGTCAGGTGAGGACTTTAGTCAGTGACATCCTAAATAGTTTTTTTCTTCATTTATTTTTTTGTAAGAAATGCTTTTAAGATACTACTTACTTTTAATTTAATGTTATGGGACACATATATTTTAATTCTATATATAGCTGATTATATATTATATATCTATACATATATCAGCTAACAATGCTTTGTATTTAGCTTGCAAAGATTAGAGGCATTTTCTCCACCCAGTAACGAGTGATAACCTCATTCATTTCCCTTAGATTGAGAGCCTCAGCAGAAAACTAACAGTTGCTCTTTCTGACCTGTAGCTGTGAACTAGTTTTTCTTAGCTTCTAGGTGGTTCTTTAAAATATGAAGTAGAGCTCTTTAGCATGCTCTGTAGCTGCTGACAGATAAGTATAATCATTACTTGTCACCCTATCAAATACTTCCACAATGTAAAGGTTGGGCTGTTATCTTGCTAGCTGACCTTGCTGACATCACTGTAGGAGTGGAGACATTCCACTTGTACAGAAACTAGATTTTCTGTTCCCCTCTTTTGTCACAACAAAAGTTAACCTTTTAACAGTGAGACATTGCTCATTTGAATAAACAGTAAAAGAAAGTAATAAATACCTGATCTTATTGCACTGCACTGATCTTACTTAGGACCTCCAAACTAGTGACTGCAGATGGCTGCTCCTCTCCAGGCCTGGTTCTGCTGAAGGTTTCTTCCTGTGAAAGGGAGTTTTTCCTTCCCACTGTTGCCAGAACACTTGTCCATAGGGCTTTATCTGATTCTTGGACTTTTCTCTGTATTACTGAAGGGTGTTTACCTTACAATATAAAGCTCCTTCAGGTAACTGTTGTTGTGAATTGGTGCTATATAAATAAATAAACAAAGTGAATGGAAATATGGCAGATCAATTGGGATGCAAAAATGATAAGGTGGCTATAATGACCGATTCTCTTATAATCATTTTTTGTAAGACGACAAAAAATGACAGCATTAGAAGGAAACCTTCTAATGCTGTCATTCTATTTGAAATTAAATTAATGAAAGTGAAATGATGCTCCAGTTATTTTCTTCGTAATGATATCATTCATTTTTTGTTTATTTTTTTTCCTAGAGGGAGGAGCCAGTGTTTTCCAAGGACTGCACAACATTATTCATCACCATGCCCTTGAAGCACGGTGGCAGCGGGACATTCAACCATATCACTATGATCTCCAACCAAGTAAAACTTTTAATGAAATGAATACATTTACTCAGGTGTTTTCAGTTTCCAGTTAAAAGCTTTATGTTGGTGTGCTTGTTTATTTTTGTTCCCTTATCTGTCATGCCCACAGGAAAGGGCTTACAATTATTCATGCAGTTCATATGATTCCATTTTGAAGTCTCATCATTTTAAATTACATCCTAACTGCATTTCCTGAAACACCAGATACTAAAGAATACATTTACTTGAAAAAATTAAGCACAGTGTTTTATGGTAGTTCCACTGGAAGCAATGGATACTGTGTGCCAGATTAATGCATCTTCCTGCAGAGATAATAAGCAAAGTCTGAGATTGAATAAAAGGGTTAGGTAGTAACGTTAACACCTTTAGGTACACAGAGTGCAATAGAAGTCATGCTAACATAGTTTCTCTGTTTTGTTGTGTTCTTTCTTACTTTTCTCAGTCTGACAGTCAAGAAGTAAACATGCGGCACCTGACCTCAGGAAGCTGGGAAGTCTCTCAAATTCTGGCCTATGACGAGGGCACAAACTCTGTGTAAGCATAAGTTACTGACACTGTAAGATTTACACTATGATAATTCTTTGCAGCTGATTAAGTTTATGTCTTTCAGTTATTACCTGAGTACAGAGACAGGAGCTACTCAACATCACTTGTACAGGTACCTCAGCAATTACTCAGTTTTCGCATGAAGACACAATCACACATGAAGCAACTATATGATGTTGTGGAAATACCTTTAATTGGTTTCTTACTAAAACTTAGTTTACAAAATTCTAAGCAGATTAGTTAAGACACAGGCAATGACATCACCCACTGGTTTTTGAACTCTGTGATAAGACTTCATGATAACTTTCAGCAAACGTGAAGCCATTCTTTCTTTCATTAAAAGAAAAAACAAAACTGAAGCACAGTCTTGTTGGATCGGCCTTTGTACAATTAACCAAAAACTATTGCATCGGACACCAGGCAGGTTAAATCTAGTGGAAATCTTTTGGATGCCATGTTACCTATGCAAAACCAAAACTGGCATTTTTCACTGTGGCTTGCATATGGATTAAAGAAATAAAAGTCCACATGCTGAGGTGATAGCGCTAGACAACACCAAAGCACCTGCAAATATCCGGTCATCCAATAAGTATCAGCAATGCAATGGAGACAGGTCTGTAGATACAGTACAGGTGATGAGTTTTGGTTATACTTCAAATTAAAGTCAGAATGGATCTTAGGTACTTTGAGTGCAGTATTATTGTTGGTGTCAACTAGGCTATTTTGTGTATTTCTGAAGAAAAAAAAAAGATTTCCTGGGATTTCTACCACAACAGTTAGGCCTAAAGGAGTTTAGTGAGCCTGCTGGCACAAATATACAGGGAGCAGAAGATCCAAAATAGGAATGTTGCGTCTATAAGAGGTTGAAGGAGAATGGCCAGACTCGTTGGAACTGACAGAAAAGCTACTAGGCTACAGAAGCCTTTGGATGTCATATTATTACCTGTTACTACTGTGATGAGCAAAAAAGCAGTTCAAACTGAACAACACATCCAAAGTTGAGGTTAAAGGCCTACAACAGCAAAAGATCATGTTATCTTTCACTCTTGTCAGCTACGAACAGAAATGTGAAGCTCAAGTGGACAGCTTTAGAGTGAAAACTGTAACCTGGTCTGATGATTTCTGCTGGACCGCAGATGGTGTGTCAGTATCAAACAGCATGAATCCATGAACCAAACATGATCGGTGTCAACAGTCCAGGCAGCATCAGAATAGTGATCCTTATAAAGTGTTTGGTGAATGCACAGATAGGAAAGTGTAGCTTTTTCATCCTCCGCATCAAACCAAAAATGATGCAAATTTTCTTTTATATTTTGGCACACAAATCTCCAAAATTCTAGTTGATTCACTGTTATGAAAGCATGGCAGTAGCACTAATCTAGCTTTGTGATGAATAGATTTTATTCTGCACTCTGGGGGTCCATAAACTATTGTAGAACAGGACAGAGCAGTGAGATAATGATTTATAAGCTAGTGAATAATATCAGTGTAAGAAACATGATGAAAATATGTCATTTCTCTTTGTGTGTAAGAATTTGATGTCATACATTAAAACAGTTGAATGAAAGTCCATTTCAAATTACCATGTCTTACTTTTCCTCATTTTATCTTTTGTCTGCAGCTAAATAGACTGATTACAACTCAGAAAATATAAATCATCTATACTAGACTTGTTTTGTTCTCACTCAGCTATATGTTGTTCTCTTTAAACAGGGTCTCCAGTGTGGATCCGTTTCATAAAGAATGCCTAACCTGCTCCCTTTTCAAATCAACATGCTCCTACCATGATGCTGTGCTCAGTCCCACCTATCAGCATGTTCTTCTCAACTGCAGAGGTATCGCATGTAGCAATAACACCATAACCAAGTGTTTTATATCAAGGTTACGATATCTGAGCAGCTGAATCTGTGTGACTTTACAATGTATCTTTACTGTTCTTCTAGTTGCCATTTTGGCTCCAAAGTGGGGGAAAAATAAAGTTTAGTTTTCCTGAAATTTATTTTATGCTCTTAGGGGGTAATGAAAAGAAAAGGTTTACAAAAAATGATATGATATGAAAGATGAAATAATGTGGATAGAGGCTTCAGTAAAGGCGAAGGTGACTGGACAGTCACAATGAGCACTACTATTAATGCATATTTCTCATTCCATAGGACATACACCTCATTATTTCACATTATGCGCACAAACCAAGAGCATGAAAAAAAAGATACACTTCAACTTAACTAAAATATTGACAGGTGGTTAAAGTGGGACAGAACTGTTCACAATGGCGTTCCAGCACCTTCAGTTAACAATATTACTGGTCAGTGACTTAATTTTTTTATATGTTGCAGACTGTCAGCATGGAGATACCTGATTTTTAATAAGAAAATAATGAAATCTAGGCTCAACAAGTATTGCAAATATCTTAGGGTGACCATATTTTGATTTCCAAAAAAGAGGACACTTAGCTCAGTCATGAAGAACTTGCTTAAAGAAACATATTAAACATATTTAAAAGAAGCCTTCTCTGTGCGGTTAATGAATTATGAAATAAAATATGTCATATAGGCTTTTACAAGTCAACAAGTGCAAAAAACCCCACTTAAAAACCTCTGGAATTAATAATGGTACAGAAATAATGCCTCATCTGCATAAGAAAAAATAACAGTACTGGGTCGCTATGAAGGCTTGATTGGGACAAAAAAATTGACCAGTGCATTTTGACTAGAGACCGGCCCACCAGGTATTATAGACAAAGCCATAAAGACTGTCTTGTTGGTATATGTATGATTTCTATACATTTTACATCAGATAAAAACTTTGGTTGTAAGATTCAGATAATTATTTTTTAAAAGCTAGACATTTTAAATGAGAAAAAGAAAGAAAAGTATTTCTTTGAGCCCCCCTTTCCCTGTTAATGCCCTACCTGGCCCCCCTGGCAAAACTTTGCTAGACCCGTCCCTCCACAGTTACCAGCTGTCAGCTACATAGAAAAGGATCCTGGTGTTATTTGCCTCTCAGAAACAGTTAATAACTTCCCTTCAACTCATTCGTGTCACCTTAAAGGTAACCCTGTTTCTCCATCACCTGTTCAGCTCTGATGATTCATTAAGGACATCTCCTGGTTTCATCTTCATGTTTCCTTCTCACCACTTATCCAAACTGATATCATATCACTATCAGTAACATTATAGCACCGGCCCAGCTGTATAGAAACTCTGTCGTGCTAGCTAGTACGCAGTACGAGTTATTGTAACTGACTATAAAAAGTCAGCACAACGAAAATAAACTCCACCTAAACTTGGTTTATATCTGACCCAGATAGACTGCAGGTCACAACTTCTTACCTGAAGTTTAGTTCACCCGACACTCGGCCGCCTCGAGTCTCTCCTCCTCCTGTCTCCCCTTTCCCTCATCCGTCTGCTGGCCTCTGTGGAAGCTACGACATAGACACCACCAAACAACCGAGTTATTTTTACACATCTGCAAACATCTGGCCAATCCACCACCTTTCATTGTTTATACCGTTACAAAAACAACAACAACAACAAAACCATTGGCCCGTAAAAAAAAAAATCACCATCAGCAAATGCCCGGTATGCCCGATGGCCAGTCCAGCTATGGTCGGTAGGAGGGAAATTTCTTTTGCAGTTCGTCTGAAAAGATGCACTTGCGCTTTGGGGTCTTTTAAACATCATTAGGCACGTTGATGCGCGCTGTTAGTCCCGTCTGTGAGCGCAGAACAAGCGCCCACAAAACAGCAGTTCGGGGATGATGTCTCACACATGGGTCCTCTGTCGGAATATAGGAAAAGGAAATTTTTATCAATCTCGAAAATCCCCCCGGACGCCCCGGACAGAACGTGAAAAGTGGACATGTCCGGGGAAAAGAAGACAGTTGGTCACCCTAAAATATCTACCAATTCTTACATTTCTCTAGCAAAAACTTCTCATGACAATCTGTGCAGTCTAAGTAGCTTGGAAAGGAAGTGACTGGACGGGACTGAAGCAAGATGTGAGTGGGGGTTGAGGCACTTGGGAATGGATCTCAGAAACGCATTGTAGGTGGCAGACACTTGGTGTCTTAAGCCATACCCTCTATCCAAAGATCATTGTTCATAGTGGACATGGGTTCTTACACTTCTCTTTCAAACCATCTGTCTTCTCAGTCCAAAATGTGAACATTGGGATCTTTGAAAAAAGTGACCTTTATCCTTTAGATGCACATGAACAGCTGAGTCATATCCTGTCAAGGTGGCTTTTCTATGTTGTGCCATGTATTTATGGAGTGGATGTTAGGTTTCTCCCATGTAGAGGTCTGAGCACTCCCCACTGCACTTCACAGCATACACTATGTGGCTTAGCTTGTGTTTGGGACCTTTGTCCTTGGGATGAAGCAGCTTTTGTCTTAACCTCCACTAAGGTTTAAATACCTGGGACTCTCTCTCTAGTTTAAGAACTGAAGAGGCTTCTCGAATGAGAGGGGAAACATCTTCAACTTAAAGAAGTCCAGGGGAAACTTAAAGAAGCCCAGTATCTCAAGCTCCTTAGGAAACACTGATCTGAATGACGGAGAATCTGTACAGAGACAAGCTATGCAATTTGTCACAAAATGTGTCTGCTAGCGAAATGTGTGAAGCAGGCTGTGATGTTTATGGGCAATGTTACTGTGTATGTCAAGGGTAGCAGAAATTTATATTTAAGGTAATGATGCTAGTTAGATGCACCAAATTCTACCTTTAATACTAGCTTTATGATGTCATAAAGACATCATAAATGCTTATATCCTCAGAGAGCAGTGAATTTTGGAGTAGAAGCACAGGTCAACCTGTGCACAAAGAAATCTACTGGAGTTTAACAAATTATTATGTTACTAAGTATATATCTAAATATTTATTTTCCCCATGCTGCTCTGCTACACCTCATCTTAGGGTTCCCCAACCTGCCAAATCCTACTTTAATCCCTGGTCATGAGGCTCTATGGATGCATCTGACAACCAGCGTGATTGGCTCACATCTTTCCATTTTGGACCATTGGTTGGATTTTCTAAGGCAGATGCAGGACATCTGTCATCGTTGCATTGCATCTTTAGAATTCTCCCATAGATTTTTGCTCAGCACTCATTGAATGGTTTGTCACTCTACTATACCATTTCTGGAGGGAGTCCATGGAGAAGACAAATAAACCAGTTTCCTGACCAAAGTTATGTTTGATTGAGTGTTCAGTGCACAATCTCTTGTGATAACCTAAATTATGTTTGAATTATCCTTAAGATAATTAAGTTATTATCATGGACTGGGGCAGAGAGCGGACCCAGATGCAGGAGTCAGCAGACAAATTAAACTTAAAATCACAGCTTTTGTCTCACTGTTAAAGAAGGCAAAGAAAACAAAAGAAAAAACAAATATGGAGCTGCAGGGTAGGAAGTACAAGCCAAACCAGACTGACAGAGACTATGCACAACATGAGGAAGGATGTGACAAAGAACAAAGGGAGACAGCCAATATGTACACAGAAAGATATTAGGCAGAGTGGACACACCTGGAAGTGCAGCTGAACAAAATCTAAGTGACAAGTTGGGTACAGGGGCAAGAGTGGGAAGACATAAGGTAAATAAACATGGAGACATAACTGACTTCCAGAGATACAGAAATAAGACTAGGACAGACTAGACACCAAAAGGAACTAGCAAAAATCCAACTAGACACCAAGAACTAGAAACAGAGATAACAAAACTCATTAGGTTCACAATGCTGTGTCAAAGACCCAGGGACCATGACAGTTATAGGAGTAAAAGAAAATGCCATTGAGGCCTATTTTTATATCTATATCTCATTTGCTATTCTATCATTCTTTCTAGTGTTCACTTTCTTCTTTCTTTCCAATGTCCTTCTAAGGAAAATACAACATTGAGAATAAAACACAGAACTAACTAATATTTAAACATTTCTACAGGACCTGGAATACCCCAAACAACTCTCCACAAACTACATGATATGAACAGTAAGTTTTCCTGCACAGATACACTTAAACAAATCTACTATTTAGACTTTCACTCATTACATTTATATGGGAGCCCAGATTGATTTTTTCCACTGTCAGTACACTTTGCCTGTCTGAAAAGTGCATTAATTGGTCAGCACACGTTTGCAGATTAAGTCTGTGAGACTAAGTCATTAAATCATCATTCAGCAGGTTTACGTAATCCTATAAAATGGGCATGAAGATGCAATTAGGTGAAGCATTAAGTGCTTGAAATTTTGTTGAGTATATATCAGAGGCACTCAGAACAGCCTCTGGGGAATGATCAACTTCTTCCGCTACTACAGACTTCCAGATTGAGAGTTGGTATTATCATTTCACATTTTTATGTAGTGGAACATTTGTCCAAAGTGCACTGTTCAAAGTGCACAGAAATTAATACAACTTGTTAAATTACTTGGACCTCAAAGTGTGAATGAATCATGTATTCAGGACAATCACTCCAACTGTCATTGTGATGTCATAGCTTTGCAACTTCGAAAAAGACTCAGTACTAAGCAGAATCTTAGAAACTGTAGAAAATTTATGTCAAACAGATTTATCTAAAGTGAGTGTGTCATGAAATGATGTAGATATGCCATGAAAAGAAGTTGTTTTGTATCCTCAGATCCTTAGTATTTTTATATAACTTCTAAAAGCCTTTTTACTTTACGTTTTTACCAGATAGCATGACAGCAAACTTCAACTACTGACTCAAATACGAACACAGGCAGATTAAGAAATATTCAATAATGTATGCTGACAGTAGAAAGTTCTACATGAAACTGGCAGGATCAATTCAAGAAGCAATAAAAAAAAAGAGAATCATCTTTTTCCAAGACGTCACAGCTCTAAGACATCACAACAACACGATTGGTCAGTTGCATGTGTGGGGACAACAACCATATGTTACTTAAGAGTGCAGAATCTGGAATAAAGATGAAATAAAGGTTATTGTAATGTTTAAAACTGTAATTTTGACAGACAGACTCAAGGATTGTCTGTCTGCTGATATTATGTCAAAAATTATTCTTTACTAAGCTGACAGAGTGGTCACAATTAGATGTCAGGAAAGAAAATGTGTTTGTTTCAGTGTATTTAGAAACACTGTAAGATTAGATAAACAACAACATTCTTCATCTAAACACATGAAAGGAACAGGAGGACATATTGTTGATTTTCTTGTTCTTGGTATAATTATAAGTGTCAATAAGATTTTAAATGAGGTACTCTTGACGTGTTCAGTTTCTTTTTCCTAGTAATTAGCAGACACACACAAGCTTTCTTTAATAGATGTTATATTTGTTGCTTTCTTGTAAGTAATAGTAATTCTTCTTGTGCTGTCATCCAGCAGAGCACAAGATTCTGGAAAATAACAGAGAATTAAAAAATGCACTGATAAACAGGACAATACCCAAGTGGGAAAGAAGAACTGTACAAATCAACAACTTTGGTAAGAAACTTTATTCCTCTCTAATGATGTGCAAAAGTTGTGATTTGTAATAACGATTTGTTCAGATTCATCTTTGAGCTTTTGTTTGGTTTTTCATTGTCTGTGTATGCATGAGTAGACATTTCTTATCACCACTCCACTCTAACATTTTCTCCCATGACGATTAATGAGTAATAACAACACTTGGAAAAACAAATTTCTTCTTCTGCTCCATCCAAGTTCAGGAAACTCAGTTGTCTGACACTGAAGAGGTAGGGTAACTGTAACTTGTTTCCTTAACAGCATGTAAAGCAATAACTGAGATAGTTTCCAGCAAATTACATCCCCATGAGCTCAGTAGTTAAGATCTTTTTAGGATAAACATACCAGAGTGAACAGGTGCAGAGCTTTGTTTGGTGATTATGAAACAGCCCTGAAATCATAAGCACAGCCCTATATTGTATCAATTAGAAGGGACGGCTCACCATATGGCTCCCTCTCTCTAGTCTGTGTTCACTATTAGAGGCAACATGATACATATTTAAGGACTTCTGAGCGGAGTCAGATGGGAATCCTGTCATCGTAAAAAAGCTAAACAGAAATAAAATCACAGGCTTACTTTTCACATAAACCGCTTCTTCTTTCTCAGGGATGAGAGAATAAGGAAGAATGGGAACAGAAAATCTGAATACCTTATCAAAAATAAACACAATGTAAATTTGCATAAAAAATATTTTCTGTCTCATGTGCTGTCATACAAATGATATTACCTAAAATATAACTGCACCAGAATTTGAAAACGTATTATATTACTTGTGTCTCCCATCACAAATTACCATCTTATTTAAGTGAAGAGGTTTGTGTACTCTAGTGAGCTATGTTCATGGCGGCAATTTGCCCATGCTAGAGTCTTCCAAGGCAAATTGTTTCTAAGTGAAGAGCCAAATTAAGTGTAATCCGGTTGTTCAGTGATGACGCGACGAATCCTACTTCCGGGCCTAAAGTAGTCTGCGTTTAATATGGCTTTTGTGTTGTTAACATGTTTAATGTTATGTATTTTCTTCTATTTGATCTCAAAAAGCTCCTAAAACAGTCAGTGATCACTGTTGACCTCCCTCGGCTTTTATTACCGCTAATCATTTATTTAAGCTCAGTTTTTAAAACCTTAGGATGTAACTACAGCCCAGCCCATGCAGCAGTATATGAATGACTAACCTCGTATTGTGGATGGATTATCTCAGTTGTTCTCCTGGCTGAAGTTTGGTCCTTTTACAGTATCCTGCCATGCGATTACATTTGTTCCTGACCACCGAGAACACTCACGTTAACTTTTATCGAGTGGAAAAAAAGTTAGCTTGTTTATATTATGCTAACATAGCTGTGTCGCTAGCGGTCACGTAGCACATCATTATATACCAGCTAGCCCAACTTCAGTAACCCTACAAACGTCACTGCTTTTTAGTTTTCTGTCTTCATTTATGCTGGAAGTGATAACAGAGCTGTGTGTTTTAATTTGTTTCCAAAATCCCGCAGTCAGGACATGCTATATTGTATTTAGATAGAAGCTAGCGAGCTAATTCCCTGCTAACTTCTAACTCCGTTAAATGTCATAAATTCCGTTTTCATGGATGCCTGGATGTTAAACTCAATTGTTACACCTGGTAGAGCAGAACGCTGATCATTTTATTAAAGATGAAAGACTTTAGACAGCTTTTCAACTCTCAGTAATGCCATAGTGATCGTTTGATATATGGACCTGCAGCGGAGTTTAGGTCCAGACACTGATAGTGACGTCAAACTGAACAACCGGATTCAGGAAGAGGTATGGTAAAGGATTGGGGGCCCCACAATGGAGCCAGTCCCAGGGGAGGAGCTCAAGCTGGTGGTTGGGCCTTAGCCCATGGGGCCAGGCTCAGCCCATATGAGCCACAAGGGCCAGCCTTCTTGTGGCCCTACTACCTGAAGGAGGTGCCAGAATGCTGTACAATACTTCCCACCCACAATGTATATATACTGTATATAGTGGAAGTTGAACTGATGGCATAGCTTCCCACTGGAAGGAATAGTTCTAGGATCTCCTCAAGCCCACCAATATGCCTGTCTGTAGTGGAGCCAGTCTGAGGGTGATTGTTCTCCACTTCAAGAATTTGAGTGAGTTGAGGTAGTTTGGAAATCAGACAGGGATGTCTCTTCGATCCCTCCAAGGTCAGGTGTTCCACACATGCTCCAATGTGAGGAGGCCTGAAATGCTTGGAATTTTTTGGCTTGGGAATTCTATTGATGAATGGATGGATAACTGGCCTGCAAAGTGGCAAAAGAAGAATTTATTCGTTATTTACATAAAAGTTCCGATTCTTATGAGTATTTTTGGCAATTCCTTGCCATCAAAATATTCCTAAGTCTCTATTTTTGTGATTGTCTTCTACAAATGTTAACTAAAATGTTCACCATCAGAGGACAATGTATTACCAGACTATCTTAGTTAGACTTGTAGTCAAGACCGCCTAAACCAAGACAATACCAAGACCAGAGGGTTTCGAGACCAAGACAAGACCAATACTAAGACCTAGACAGACCGAGTCAAGACGAAGACCGAGACCGAGACAAGACCAATACTAAGACCTAGACACACCGAGTCAAGACGAAGGCCGAGACAAAAAAAAAGTCTTTAAACTTCAGCCAGATGCTGCTTCGTTTATGGGTGTCGGGCATATTTATGTGTTTTTGCGATGCACTCACACAGCCTTCCTCACCGCTGTCTACTGTCTCACTGACTTACAGAGAGCACAGACGCACGCTCCACTTGACTGTCGCGTCTCTCACCCTCTCTGTTTTTCACATAATAATATTATCCTATATCCTCGCATGTGATTGGCCACAATATGGAGGGATTGGAGCATAGCTGAGCCACTGTGTGAGAGCTGAGCAGCGAAAGGAAATTAAGTGAGGAGCCGGCTCTCGTTCAATGGGAGTTGACTCTTCTGATTCACTACAAAGCACTCTCTAAGCACGGCTCTTAGAGCTGATGTTTTTGCGCATGACACATTATCGAACGTTACGTTGTGTGTCATGGATACTGTTGACTCCAAATCTCCCAACCACTATGTCGATCTGAGGCAAGTCCAAGACAAGACCGAGGGATCCGAGACCAAGACAAGAACAAGACAAGACCAAGACCACGTAAATGTGGTCTCAAGACCGGTCTCGAGACATCCAACTCTAATCTTAGTGTAGTTGCCCAATTGTGCAGTAGGAACAAAAAAAGTGTACTGTTTTGCCTGAAACTTGTCAAACATGTTAACAGTGTCTGTCAAATTAGAGAATTAGTGATGGATGATACATGACTCGCATCAGTAGCGTTTTTGATACGAGCGACACGGTCGGTTGCCCGGGGCGGCATCGTGGTGGGGGGCGGCATCACGGGCATCGGCAAAAAAAAATAATTTTGCTCGTACTCATGGTGCCCCGACGTCAGCCAGCACATTTTGTGAATGGCATAGGCACCGATCGGCTTTCTATCGCACATTTGCTGGGAGTAAGGGCGCCCTCCATTTGCGAGGTACTTACAGCACAGGGAGGAGAGGGCGGGGCGGCGGGGGATTCACTGACTGGCTGGAGCAGCATCTAATAACCAACTCGCAAAATAAAACAAAATAAAAACAAACCAACAAACACAAAAACACCAGACATTATGACACAGAGTTATAATTTGCACCAATGTTTTTTCGAAATTCTGTATGCGAAAAGTGAGCGCGAGAGAGTAAAAACATACATGATTTACTCATGAAAGTGGCCACTTTCTCATTACTTTCATATATTTTTTTAGTAAGTATACAAAACATACAAGTTTCATTATATAATTTTTCAAGGGATCTTATATGTGCTTTTCATACAAGCTTCATACAAGACAGATAAAAACTTTATAAGATTTATATATATCTTTTCCATATGGGCACATTCACACACTACATAGAAATACACCCTAGACAAAGCGAATCTGTGAACTAACGTATAGGTCTATTAGGTTATGTTGTGGTGATTGCTTCAGGATACATGACCTGCCATTGGATAATGGCAGGTCATGTATCCTGAAACAATCAGAATCATGTATCCTGAAACAATCAGAATCATGTATCCTGAAACAATCAGAATCATAATCAGAATACTTTATTAATCCCTAAGGAAATGATGTGGGTTACAGTTGCTCCAAGAAGAAATGGTAAAAATAGCAACAGTAACAGACTAAACTCCAAACAATCCATTATATTACAGATTTTACACAACTAAGAAATAGCACTAATATATGCAGATCACTCAATTATAGATAGAGGGAGTGTTCACCCGGGGCGCTAAACAGGCTGGGACCGCCACTGACTCGCATCACAAAACGGCAAGCATTACCAAATAACAGCTTTTGTCCTCCTAAATTGGGAAGAAATGTGATGTATTTAGCTTCTTACTCAGCATTGGCACTCAATCATTTACACTCCAAGAGCTGTTTCCAAAAGTATTACTGAACTCCTGTTTTTCTTCTTTTGCTCTTGTTTTGTTTGCATCCTAGCATGGTTTATTCTATTGGTGCATTATTCTCTTGGTGATGGTGGTGATAAGGGTCAATTATCAGGTGTTTTAGCTGTTGCTTGCTGTCCAATTAATAAGTATAGGTGCCTTCTCTGCCTCCCCGTCATATTTTATCTTCCTCTGATGTTCAATTTAGGATACTACAATGAAGAGCTACACCATCTTGCTTGGGCTGGTTCCTTCTTCCTTCCTTCTGTTTACATATATGTGTAAAATCCATAATAAATATGTCCCCAGACTTGGAACATAATTAGGAAATAAGGGTGATTACAGGAGACCCCTTGTACCCTGCCCACCACCTATTTGACCCACTGCCCTCTGGTTGGCACCTCAGGTCATTCAGTCCCCACACCTCAGGTTTTATAAACAGCTTCTTTCCCTGGGCCATTCGGACTGGTAACAAACACTACCACCCCCACACACTACACCTGCCCACCCACTCTACTAATCTGAGCCATGGTCTGAGTAACCCTGATCACTCAGGCCATTCACACACAGACTCTATTCAAACCAAGTCCTTTGCACTATTTACAAGCACTTTATTCTCCAGTGTGTGCATTTTGTCTTGTTTTACATATCTTCCTTTAGTTTGTATATTTTTCTGCTGTTTGTTATTTATTCCTGCTGTCTTGGCGCTTATATTTTATTTCTGATCGGTTGGCATGGAGCACCCACAATTTTGTTGTACATGTACAATACCAATAAAAGACTATTCTATTCTATTTTAATCTATTGTATTCTATTTATCAAATTAAACTTTGATGACCTCATCACACATTATGATATTATATAGAAAAAAGAGAAAACTTCCATGCACTGTCCACTTAGGTGACTCAAGTCACGCGGTCTTTGATTGTCAACTGAATTAAATGGTACCATTTAAAGGATGTACTAAAGCTAAAATGAATGTAAATCTTTTCAAATACCAGCTTTGTGCTACCTGCCTTGACCTCTAAAGTCTCAGTTCTTCTCCCATTTCTTTTATTAACCAATAAATGATGTGTTGACCTTGCAGCGCACAGAGCTTTGATGTAGTCTGAGGGATAGATGTACATGCATTGCATATAAAAATTTATTCTGAATCTTCACCAAAATCTCCTCTGGACTGAATGCTGAACACTGATTTATTTTGCAGCACTTCGCCTGGAGTTAATCGTCCCGATAGCTTTGGATGAAGCGAAGGAGTACCCACTTTTACTTGTCCTGTACGTAACTTTGTTTTAACAACTTTGAGAATGCCTCATTGTCGGCCTTACTGCTTCAGTTGAAGTGTTAAGAACTGTAGAGTGAGTTTATACAGTGACTACAGTGAAATCCCAACCTAAAGATAGGGACCGCCCTCCTCTCCAGAAGAGTATAAGAGTAATGTTTTAGAGGCCATTAGGTGTTTAAAACATAATGGTTGTTGTTATTATTTCTTCAATTTTTGTAGTTTATTTTGCATCCTTTCATGAAAACTTTGGCGCTCTAAACTCTTTTTGCCTTCCAAAGTGACAGCACCCCTGGTGGTCAGGCTGTGAGTGACCGTTTTTCCCTGAGCTGGGACTCTGTTCTGGTCAGTTCCAATGATGTCATTGTGGCCCATCTGGATGGGCGGGGCAGTGGCTGCCAGGGTCAGAGGATCTTACACGAGGTTTTCCAGAGACTGGGAACTGTTGACGTTCACGATCAGCTCACAGCACTCGAGTATGTATTGGTACAGATAATATTTACATACAAACTACGTACAAAATGACATTTAGTTAATGTTCTTTTAATTTTCAGGCATCTGGTAAAGCTGCCCTATATTGATGCCAACAGAGTTGGAGTTTATGGAAAGGTAACAGCCTCTTTAACTGAAATTAAAACACGCATAAAAATTAGCAATTTATTTATTTATTTAATTCTTTTTTCACAAAAACATTGTTTTCTATATTTTTTTAGGCATATGGAGGCTTCTTGTCCACACTCCTGGTCCTTTCCCACAGCTCTGTGTTAAGGTGTGGCATTGCTGTCACTCCTATAACAAACTGGAGATTGTATGGTAAGCTTATTCAAGACTTTACAATAATATTGTCACTAGTTATAGTTATGACTTACGAATACCACGTTAAATGAAAAATTCAAGTTATGAAGGCACTGAAGGGCAATATTTCTGCCCGTGTTTTGCCCGTGTTACGAAATCCGCTGGCTGTGATTGGCTGAGCCCACAATGCCTACAATGCCCACAATGCCTTTCGAATCATGTGACAACCCCTTTGCTTTCGTACTCGCGCTTAGCTGTTTCACTCGAGTGTTGTTAGCTATTATTAGCCTATAGCCTATCGTTCACTCAAAAGGCGAGATGGGTGCTTCGACTTACGAAAATTTTCGACTTACGAAAGACCCTCGGGAACGAATTAATTTCGTAAGTCGGGGTTCCACTGAGCAGTAAGATTGGTTATTAATGGTCACCATTTGTCCACCATGAAGTGAAGAAGTAATATTAGATTAATCATGTGTTAATTAAAACAACAATGCCATGTCTGTTAACAGTTTTATTCTGGTTTTCGATAAAGGGTCTGCCTTCACTGAGAAATACTTTGGCTTTCCAGCAAGAGAGGACCACAAATACCAGGTACACTTGTATGTTAGTGGTGGGTTTTTGGGTTATTATGTTCCATATAACATGTTCATATCTAGCTAATAATTCTTATTTATGTCACAACTCTAATACTAAATACAAGAATACTGAATGCAGACACTCACAGATTGATGACGGGATTTAAAACTTTCACATTAACAGCAAATACTTACAGGAAACACTTCAAAGGGGAGAGTTGTTTTTTTTTATCCCTTTAATTTTTTTTTCCTGTAAGTATTTGTGGTTCAAAAGTGAACAGATGGTGTAGAAGTTACCCAGGTAAGTGGAAGTGATAAATATGTAAAGGGACAAGACTGGGTTTAGTGGTAGGAAACCAAAGATGTTGCAGATGTGGCATAGTGTGAAAAAGCACTGAACAGTGCAAAAATGCACAGTTAGTAACTAACCACATGAAATTAACCCTCATGCAAGTTATCTGTCAGTGCCACAACAGAATTTCTGTAAATCTACTTCTATATTTGCAGCATACAGCCCTCCATCTCTTTCAGAGTTTTCATACAAACTTTCACTCTTTTTGCACTTCATTTTTTCCCCAGTTATGATCAGTTTCCAAGTTTTTGCCTCTGAGAAGAAAACCCATGCCATGAAGTTACCTCCACCACGATTCTGTGTATCAAAGTATTAATAGTTGATAACAACAGCTGATGGCACACGTTGTTCAGTTTTTGATTGATCAGATCATAGTATATTCTCATTTGTTTTTTAACTTTACATTTAGCAAACACTAAGCACTATCGTGCTGCACCTTTTTATTCAGAGTAGCTACATACAGACCTGGCTGGTATAGTACTGCTAAGGTGGTCATCATTCCTTAACCTCTTTCTGCAGAGAAGTTCTTCAAATCTTTATGTTTGGACACTAATAACTTCATTTATGAAAGCCCTCATTGTTTGATCATTCACTTTGGTTGGACTCCTGTCTCTCTGAACATTTCCGATGTTTCCAAACAGTCAGTGAGGTCACGATGCTCCCTAGAACACTTAAAGTTTCAGTTTCTGTGTTTCCCTTGATCTTTATCTCAGCACAGTGAGAAGTCTCCAGTGAGTTTCTTGTACTTGCAGGCTTTAGGTTAAGTCCTGCAGTGTATATAATTTATAATGTACAGTGTAAGTCATGGGATCGTAGAAAGGTGTGTCTGTTTTTATAAATTTTGCCTACTAGTTTTAATTTGTCAATCACAATCAAGTTTTCACCACAATTTGCAGCAGCAAAGGGATTACATACTTGCAAGCCATGCTTGCAAAACCTTCATTTTGTTGCCATAATTTAGTGAGTGCACACTGATTGTGGAGAATTTAAAAAATGTATTATCCCTGTGCCTTTTCTGAATTTTTGTTAAAAATAAATATGTGTTGATTTTTTTTTATTTTGTGCCACTGTAGAATTCACTTCTTCTCCAGTAGTGGCTGAGGTTTATTTGTGTTGCTATTTTTATGTGCAGCCGTCAACTATATGTGTGTGTGTGTGTGTGTGTGTGTATATATATATATATATATATATATATATACACACTAGGGGTGGGGGAAAAAATCGATACTGTGTAGTATCGTGATATTTTGTTTGCTAATAATGTATCGATACAGGGACGGCAGAAATCGATATTTTGTTACAAAAAAGGATTTTGTGGAATGGAACATGCTCTGAGTTCAGAGCATGTTGATCCTTTTTCTGAGCAAGAATCCTGACATTCCTTCACTGTCCAAATGTGTTTAACTTTTTTTTGGGCAGCAATAAACATGACAGTTTACTTATTTTAATTTAAGACATGTTTTATATTAATTAAGTTTAAAACTTTTTTATTTAATGTAAAATTATATTTTGTTTTAATTTACTTTCAAATTCTTCTGTTGCTGAAGGGGCTGCATAGTTTTCATAAATTTCATAGTTCAGAATAGCTATAATTGTACCAGATGGTTGCAATCAGTTAAGTTGGACTAGACTGTAATACAAACCGTTCAGTTTGTCAACAATAAAACTGACTGAAATGAGAGACTGAGTGTGAGACTTTGATATTAGATAAAATAAATATTGATAAAGTTTACCTTTATGTACAGAATCTGAATATCGCAAAATATTTTAAAAAATTGCAATAATATCGTATCGTGCGTTAAGTATTGTGATAATATTGTATCGTGGGATGTATGGTGATTCCCACCTCTAATACACACACACACACATACATATATATATATATGTATATATATATATATATGTATATATCTTGCTGGTGACATTTTACAGAGCCACCATAGAGAGCATCCTAACGTACGGCATAACAACATGGTATGCAGGGTGCTCAGCTGCAGACAGGAAAGTACTGCAGAGGGTCATCAACACAGCCCAGAAGATCACTGGCTGCTCTCTGCCCAGCCTGGAGGTCACTGCAAACTCTCGGTACCTCAGCAGAGCTGGCAATATCATCAAGGACCACTCTCACCCCAGCAATCAACTGTTTGAACTATTACCGTCAGGCCGACGGTACAGGTCACATAAAACCAGGACAAACAGATTCAGGGATAGCTTCTTTCCCAGAGCTATCACCGTAGTAAATAAGCACAAAAACAATTGAACCTATTCCATACCGTCACTGTCATTATATTATGCTGCTATTCATACTGTCATTATATTAATGCTGCTATCCTGTATATATTGTACATACTATTGTTTGAGTACTTACGATTGGTTTTTTTTTGTACTTTTTATATTTTACATTTATATTTATTATTGAAACTTGCACCAAGGGAGTGGCACTCCAATTTCGTTGTACTCTGTACAATGACAATAAAGGCTATTCTATTCTATTCTATTCTATTCTATTCTATTCTATTCTATATGTATATATATGTATCTATATATAGTTGTCAGCCACCTCCTGTACATGGATGACATCAAGCTGTATGCCAAGAGTGAACGAGACATCGATTCACTGATCCACACTACCAAGCTATACAGCAATGACATTAGACTGTCGTTCGGACTGGAGAAGTATAGTCGGATGGTAACAAAGAGAGGGAAGGTAGTCAGAACTGAGGGGATTGAACTACCAGAAGGCAACATTGCAGACATAGAGGACAGTTACAAGTACCTGGGGATTCCGCAGGCGAATGGGAACCATGAAGAGGCCGCTAGAAAAGCTGCAACCACCAAGTACCTGCAGAGGGTCAGGCAAGTCCTGAGGAGTCAGCTGAATGGCAAGAACAAGATCCGGGCCATCAACACGTACGCCCTGCCCGTGATCAGGTACCCTGCTGGGGTAATAGGCTGGCCAAAGGAGGAGATAGAAGCCACTGACATAAAGACAAGAAAGCTCCTTACCATGCATGGAGGGTTTCACCCCAAGTCCAGCACCCTGAGGCTGTACTCTAAGCGGAAGGAAGGGGGCCGGGGACTGGTGAGTGTCAGCACCACAGTCCAGGATGAGACAACGAACATCCAAGAATACATTGGGAAGATGGCCCCAACTGACCGAGTGCTCAGTGAATACCTCAGGCAGCAGAAACCCAAGAAAGAGGAGGGAGACGAGGAACCATCATGGAAGGACAGGCCCCTGCACGGTATGTACCACCGGCAGATAGAGGAGGTGGCTGATACCCAGAAATCCTACCAGTGGCTGGACAAAGCTGGACTGAAAGACAGCACAGAGGCACTAATCATGGCAGCACAAGAACAAGCTCTGAGTACAAGATCCATAGAGGCTGGGGTCTATCACACCAGGCAAGACCCCAGGTGCAGGCTGTGTAAAGATGCCCCAGAGACAATTCAACACATAACAGCAGGGTGCAAGATGCTAGCAGGCAAGGCATACATGGAACGCCATAACCAAGTGGCCGGCATAGTGTACAGGAACATCTGTGCCGAGTATAACCTGGAAGTCCCGAGGTCAAAATGGGAGATGCCCCCAAGGGTGGTGGAGAATGACCAAGCTAAGATCCTGTGGGACTTCCAGATACAGACGGACAAAATGGTGGTGGCTAACCAACCGGACAAAATGGTGGTGGCTAACCAACCGGACATAGTGGTGGTAGACAAACAGAAGAAGACGGCCGTAGTGATCGATGTAGCGGTTCCGAATGACAGCAATATCAGGAAGAAGGAACACGAGAAGCTGGAGAAATACCAAGGGCTCAGAGAAGAGCTCGAGAGGATGTGGAGGGTGAAGGTAATGGTGGTCCCCGTGGTAATCGGAGCACTGGGTGTGGTGACTCCCAAGTTAGACGAGTGGCTCCAGCAGATCCCGGGAATAACATCGGAGATCTCTGTCCAGAAGAGCGCAGTCCTGGGAACAGCTAAGATACTGCGCAGGACCCTCAAGCTCCCAGGCGTCTGGTAGAGGACCCGAGCTTGAAGGATAAACCGCCCACAGGGGCGTGCTGGGTGTTTTTGTTTATATATATATATATATATATATATATATATATATATATATATATGTATATATATATATATGTATATATATATATATATATATATATATATATATATATATATATATATATATATATCTCATTGGCAATGTCTGAACCTTATAACAGTTAAAAGTCCTGGTAGTTTCAATCATCTTTCATTTTGCAGTTATTGAGGCCACTGTGCTTCCTAGATCACTCAAAGTTTTAGATATGTTTCTATGGCCGTGCTTTGGTCTATGCTTTGCCACAGTCCAAAGTCCACAGCGAGTTTTTTAGACTTACTGGCTTTATGTTATGTTCTGTCATGCAGTGTGAATTATGGGCTCTAATAAACACAGGTGTATGCGTTTCTAAATTATGCCCAATAAATTTAATGAAAAAACAATCTACATGGATAAATAACACTGCAGGCACTAAAAGAAAAATGTGTTTGTTTTGGTCTGGTCTGGGTTGAACTAGAAAAATCAAAACTGTTGTTTCCGCAGTATTTCTAGCACTGCACCACCAGATGCAAACAGATTTTAAGATGTCCAAACTGCCTCTCCTCTCACCTTTGCAACTGAAGTTTCTGTTTAAGATCAGCAAAGTACAAAGTTCTGCTGATGGCAGCGCAAAATTAAAACTCATTAAGGGAAGCTTTGATCTCTGCTGCTCAGTCACTTGACAGTTTTGTTACTTCAGTACATCCACCCTTGCTTACTGACACTTCCATCTGTGTTTGGTTGCATCTGATAGAAGTTGCTATAAATATTTATGAGTGGGAACTGATGCTGTTTAAAGATGTAGTTTCTTGTCTTCTAACCAAAGTTTTATGCTAATGGCTTCAACATTATGAGCTGTTTTATTAGATTTAAATCTGATATAGTTAAGCTGTGTCTGATTCTGCACTGGGTGGTGACTGTTCACTGTCTCCTGCAGATTTCCAGTCTGCTCAGCAACATCACAGGACCTGCAAGTCCATTGAACTTTCTTATTATCCACGGCACAGCAGATGGTGAGCATGGGAATAGATAAACATGATGAAGCAGATATGTAGCTGTAGAATTAAGTAGGGTTTACTGCCAAATTAACTGTAAATAAGTACATACTGACAATTCTTTTTTGCAAATTTAACATAAAAATGAATGCAAAGGAAAAAAAACTGTAAGTGTTAGTCTAACTATTGCATTTCTTTTATTTTACTGAATTCCTAACAATGCTCTGCATAATGGGGTGAATGGTTGTTGTGCAAAGTTATTGCATTGTAAATTGTCATTGCAACTCTTTGTTCTCTTGACAGCCAATGTTCATTTCCAGCATTCTGCTGAGTTGGTCAAACTGCTGTCTGCATCAAATGTTAACTACACTCTCCAGGTGACTTCTGCCATCTCCTCTCTGCATGACATTCATTTCAGTTCCCTAACAAGAGCGGACCCATGTGCTGTGTTTGTGAATTTATCAACCAGCCTTCTTATTTTTATTCTCTGAAGGTTGAAAAGTCATTTAACAAAAGCTTCTGCTTTCCCATGTGTCCATATCAGAAAGCAGTGTGGTCAGATATGTGATGGTTTCTTTCTGCTGCACAAGATAATCAGGTCTTGGCAATTAAAGCAATGTTTGTGGACAGCTGCTTGTGTGAGCAGATGCTAGGCAACGTTTATATGAATAATTTTCCAAACAGTCTATTTTGTGTCAGCGAGATTTTACAAACTGTGGTTAAAGATAAAAAAAAAAAAATCCGTTTTAAATGTGGCCGGTTTCGCCTTCAAAATCATCTTCTCGTATAAGATGATAATTAGATAATTCAGTAAAAGTCCTGGCATGCCCCCTTGCATTTGTGCCTCTGCAGTGGTTACTGGATCTCCCCCAGTCTGTTAAAACTGTGATCCTTCAGCTTGATTTTCATTTGCATTAGTTGGGTACACAAAACTGCATGTGACATCTTTTGATTCTTTCTCTGTATGAGAAAGTGCTTATTTCAAACTGAAACATTGTCAGAAAAACTAGCCACAGAGACCTATGAAGAATAAAAATAAATAAATAAATCTAATGGCAACACCCATGGTGCTGAAATAAGTTAAGAGCCATTACTATTGAATTTATATAAATGACAATTAATATTATTAATTAGAAAGAAACAACTGCACTACGAGTGCACTGATGTGCAAGCTCCACATTAAAGGTAAATTTAAATATTATAGGCTTCAGTGCATTTAAGTCTGACACAGTCTTGTAGTCTGATGATGGAGATGTGGAAATCACTTTTAAATGAGGCCAGATTAAAGAGAAATGTTAAGGCACTGGCATTGGCACATGAAATATGATAAACAGTTGAAAAATGTAACTGATCAATTTTCAGTCTTTTAGTTGGAGTTCCAGCAGTGTAGAACTGACATGGCAGCAGATTAATACCAGCATTAAAACAGATGACATATTTTCTGAATCATCATCTGAATGCGTTCACATTCATGTGACGTTGTGACTTACACTACACTACTGTAACTTCCATCACAGCTTTCTTTAGTGGCATTAGTAAGGTATGCCTCGGCGGGTTGCGTATAAAAGGGCAGCTACTTTGTAATGTTATGTTCTTTTGGAAATGAAGCAGTGAAAACTGTAAGAAAAAAAAAACTTAATCTGCTCCAGACCAAGTTATACACTCTTTTAAACTGGCTACCACAGTGATGTAGCCAATTAAAAAGAGGTATTTAAAATAAAAACTCATTTAATGGTACAGCTCAGACCCCTACACTTCTGTTCTTTTGAGATACTTTTCATACTAAAAAGGAATTCGGTGTATACTCATGTTATAAGTCAAGTTTCTCTCATTTCTACCAGCTGTTGATCAGCAGGAGGGTGTAAATTCATTAAAATAAATGTATATGCCATCTCCCTGCACTCAGATGCATGCTACTCCCCCGAACATGATCGTGATGGTCACATGTCATGTTTAACACCCACTGCTCAACAAAATTGTACAAAAAAATCACAACACTTTGAAAACTCCTCAGATCTCCATGGGAAAATCATGCTGGATTTTTATTCTGATTCTTAATTCTGGAATGCTGTAGCAAATGCCAATCAGTCTCTGTGGTGTGAGCACAGGGCCCACTAGAAGATGTTGGTACCTCAGACCACCCTCATAAAGTCTGTTTCTGATTGTTTAGTCAGATACATTCACAGCAGTGCCCTGCTAGCCAAATGCAAAAAAACAACAACAAAAAAAAAAAAACCCCCAAAAAAAAAACACCAAAGAACTTGCAAAGCCATTACTATTTTGGGGGTTCTCTAATTCCCATCCTCTCATTGTGACCCCTCTAGTAACTGTTGCACTAGAGGAGCTTTTAAAAACACCAAAGCAGCTGAAACTGATTGACAGCCCCTCTGCTGCTTAACTGAACAGATCAATATCATATCAAAGTTAAGTTATAAAATGTAACTGATGCTAAACTCTGATTAAAAAGTGTTCCTTTAATTTTTTAATTAGTTTATTACAGTAATTGTATTCTTCAACAAGAGTGTCTCAATTCCTTTATACACTTTAGATTGATTCTATATAGTCACTGTATTTGCATATTTTATTTGGGGTGGTGCGGAGTGTGGATCCTGATGACCATAGGGTAGCACTGGAGCATGTTTGCTATGTTGTTACCTCTGAACAGTTTCTGCTCAAATGTGTAAAGAGAAAACACAAGTAGCCCAGCCTGAACTCTCACAATTCCTGCTTAGTCAGTACATTATAACCACTTGCCTAATAGTGTTAGCATGTTAGTCCTTTGAGCGCATCCAGTGGTTAGAGTCTACAAGACAAGTGAAGGTTCCCTGTGCTATATGGCAAAAAGATCTTAGCAGGAGATCCTTAGCCGCAGATCAGAACATACTGTCACCAGTTCATCCGTTCATTGTTTTCTTGTCTTTCATCAATGTCAGCTGATTATTACCAATGCTAACTGGTATTTGCTGGTGTAGTTTTGTTGGCTGTACTATGATGTTAATATCAAGGCAATGTTTTATTTTGTTTTTGGAACTCCTTTCTTTCACTTAGAATATACATCATTTCTATGTTTTTTATTACAAAGAAATAATGACTCTCCTTTCCATTTCCTTCTGACTAGATATTCCCAGATGAAGGACACAACATTATTTCAGTAAAGAGTCAACACTACTTTCTGAGCTCAGTGCTGAACTTTTTCAACCGCTGCTTTGAGGAGGGGTACAATGAAGATGATTAGCTCCAAGTAAGCTCCTGTGGTAAGGTGGTTTTATGGAGAGTGCGCTGGAGCAACTGCTGTAGTGAGCCAGCGATGAGAGGTTGTGTTTCCCTGAACATCTGCTGCCTGATAAAAATGATTAATAAAACCCCACTGACCTATAATATTTAAATTAGGTCCCTTCACATTTGTTGGAATGCAAAGAAAGTTAGAGCAGTGAATCTGAGGTTGTGGGGAAAAACAAAAGATAGGTTAATATTATACTACCATTAAGAGTTCTGTTTTGAATGTTTGTACCATGTAATGCATACAAATGTCAGGGAATCAAAGAAACTTGTATTTTTTTTTGTATCTTTCCTCAAATCTACTGTGAATTCATGTGAATACATTCTGTGAACAGAGAAAAATCACCTATAAATCCACCAAATCGTATCACTATCAGACCGAATCACCAAACAGTTCCTGCAGGTGCCTTTACCTCATATAGTCTTTTCTGAGCTTCGGGCAAACACAGCAATACAAAAATATCGTATGACAATATGTAACAGAGAGTGAAATGGGGTTTAGCCATGCTGTTTAAATCAGGTAAAGAAAACCTTTAATATGAAAGTTTCAAAAAGGAAGTTACTGTGAGTCTTAGTTTTTTGTATTTCTTCTTTTATCTTTGTTAGAAGGAACCTGTGTGTCTGTTCAAGATGAATCTGCTATTTGGGTGCACATTGCCATGTGACATATTAAAAGTATTAATTGTGTTATTCAGGGAAGATTTCTTAGTTTAACAATATCTTCATCTATGTTTTTAGAAATAGATGAATAAATTTCAGATGTTTGTGACCAGCTTGAACCTTTACTGTTCCACACAGTGTTTAATATCCACAAAATGTGAAAAGAAATTAAAGTGGAGAATGGAGAAAGTTCATGTGTAAGATAAGCAGTCTATGCTGTACAGTGCGCTTTGGCCACAACAGAACTGTAATAAATACTGCATCTTTCCTCCAGTAGCAAACTGATTGTTTGTTGACCATAACCCTGTGCTGCTCACACTTCTACACTTGCCTGACAAACTGCATCTCATGTACCATATATATATTGCCCTCTGTAGTTGACATTTGTATACTTGGAAACATTTGTACGCTCAAATAAACTGACAAACTTGACATTTTTAGATCTGTGTGTTGCAGTAATAGATTATTTTGATTTTAAAGTGACAGTGCATATATTCATGAAGCTCCAAGGTCACTCTAATGTAACGAGTATAGTATAGATCACTGAAATGTTCCCCTTTGCTTCAGCGATACAGAGTGATATGACTGGATCAATGGCAATTTTGCAGCTGGGGCTCATACAGAGCTGTCAGGATGTGCTAAGCATAGCAAATGGCATGCAGATTAAAAGCTGATGAGTAGGGAGTCTCCATAATAGTTCAAGGTTTTTTTTCCAGCTTTTATAAGTTGTATTATCATCAGTTATATTATGCTGACATAGTGTCAGTTGCTGTACTAACATAGCACTGCTAAACCATTCAACTAAGTAAGGAAAAACATGAATCCAGCATTACTTTAAGACATGAAGGTCAAAAAATCTGAACATTTTCAAGAAATGTGGTGGGACTGGCTCTCTGAGTAGAAAAGAAGAGTGGTGCTTACAAAAAGATATGTTCATTAGAAGCACCAGTTCTGCAAATTTACCAATTAGCCGCATCCAATGAGAATCCATAACAATGCTTCCCAGCGATACATCTAAACATCAGCTGAGACGTTTAGATATGAGACCAATACTGAATGACAACAAGGCTTTGCAGGTAAAACTCTTGGAGATTTACTCAGAATTTAAAGTAACAGTTCATCAACATAGATATCGCAGCATCCTGCAGAGATCCACCGTTTCATTTGCAGCTTCTGTAACAGCTCTTTGCTAGCCTGATTAAGTCTGATTTAGGCTCAAATCACCTTTAAGCCGAAAGTACCTAACAGTGACAATGTTAAGCAAATAAGCACACCTCTCAAAGTATTACTAGTAAGGAAAGGGAATTCAAGTAAAATGAAATTTGATCATCATTGGGAACTTTTAAAACATCATATTATGTGGTGGAAATGTGCTGCAGTTATTAAACTGATGTTGTGATCACATTGTTTTCTCAAGTTAAAAAATGTTTAAGGAGAGTAACATTCAGACTGATAAGAGCAGTGTTATTGTTTGTTTGCAGATGTTTAAAAGTGGGTACTTGTTGTGTGAATGTGTATAAAAGGTTTTTTTTCATCCTCTACACAGTATATGTTTAACTTCTGTTACTCTTTTAGGGTGAGGCCTAGACTTTGGTGGTGTTCAAGCCAAATGCTAAAAATGCTCAAACTAACCCTCTGCATGTCTTCTCTCACTGCCTTTGAACACACCCTCACCCCATCCTGTGTCTTTAAACAGGAAGTTTTTCCTTGCCACTGTCGCCAAGTCCTTGCTCAGAGGGGGGGTTGTTTGCTGTTTGGGTTTTTCTCTGTATCATTGTAGGGTCTTTACCTTAAAATACAAGGCACCTTGTGGAATGTTGTTGTGATTTCATCCTACATAAATAAAATTAAAGCCCTGACTGATCTTTGTGATCTGTATTCTTGATTTGGCAAATACTTTATGTTGAATGCCCTTCCTGATCCAACCTTCCCGATTTATCTGGGCTTTGAAATGGCACTTGAAGAACACTGGCTTGTTGCTTTGTAGTTCCACGCAACCAAGCACTGTTCTTAAATGCTTCTCCAATTTGGGAGCTGAAGCATATTGCAGCTGCCATAGGTCAAGAAGCATGCTACACCCTGGACAGGTTACCAGTCCATCGCACTTACACCTACAGTCAATTTATCATCACCAGTTAACCTAATGAGCATGTGTTTGGACTGTGGGAGAAAGCATGATTTCCCAGAGAGAATCCACAGAGACACGTGGAGAAAATACAAAGTCCAGTTTAAGAAGCCAGAAACTGTAATTTTTAAAATGTCATAAATGCATTTTGGCCTTGCAGTTCTTCTTTCAAAGCTTACCAAACAGGTGAAGAGTCCACAAAAAGAGGTAGATGTTAGCCCAAATGTAACCATGTCACCAGTAACTTTAGAACTGAAAGATCTAAAACTGTGAGTTGACTTTGTTCGGTTGTCCTATTATTTTCTTTAGATCTGCGTTGACATCATGTGGTTATCAAGATTTTTTTTCTCATTAGACAAGAAAGAAAAACAAAGTCTCCATTAGGAGCGTCATCTTCAGGAGATGACTAACAGGACTTTCAGAGAAGAGAAATATTTGTTTGTCGTTAAACACCTACTGATCACTGTTGGTGTTAAAATAGACCTTTTCACAACATCTTCCATCTGGCTAGGTTGCCATGTTGATGCATTCCTCCTTAAAAAACGACCAATAATGTTTGTTTTGAGCTCTGAACCACCATAGCTGTTACACATTTTGCTGGCTACTACAAATTTAAGAATTAACATCTGCTTGGTCATTCAGGCTTGTAAGTGCAGGCAGTGATTAATGCACACAGACATGCAGTGTTGATGCAAGTATGTTTGACTTTAAATAAGAAGATCTTGCCTGCTAAATCATTAATGCAGGTAGCCCATGGCCATGACAGATGACTGGGTCTCTTTAATGTGACTGCCAAGGTAACAAACAAATGAAACTTTAGATTGAATTGCTCAGTCCTGCAAACAAATGCAGCCGATTTGGTTCTCTGTTATTTGTGTTCAATCCACCAGAATAACTCAAAGGTTTTTTTTTTGTTTAGTTTTTTTTTTACATTTTTTTTTTTTTTTACATTTTTTATTATTATTATTTATTATTTATAATCATCACTAGAGGACAATCACAATAACCCCAAAACCTCAACCCTCAACCCTTCCCTTTTAAAACAGCAAAAAGAACGAGAACAAGCATTACAAAATCCATCCTAAGAAGAAAATCAACAGCTTGAAAGAAAACAGAAAAGAAATGAAAGTACAAGACGTCCAGGTCAAATCAATCCATCCCCATAGACTAAACTTTCTATGAGATCTGACATCTTAAAAATATATTTATGTACACACTCTGCTGTATTGTACTGTACAAAATGTGGCAACACTTGACACATTCCCTGTAGACATGCAAACACCTTACTGACACTGTAAAATTCCCCATCTTAGTTCTTTTTTTTGAATGTCTTTTAGTGTCCAAAAATACGTGAAATGGTTCTTTACTCTGGTGGAGATGCACTGGAAAATGATCTCACACCTTTTTAAACTTGTGCAATTTGATTTAAGGGTTCAAATCACATATTAAGATGGAGAGCTTTTTCAGTGTGGCCTGAAACTGAAATTACTATATGGCCTATAAACCTGTTATCTTCATCCCAAACTTAAGAGTTTCTAAACTGACTGCAACACCGTGTCTCGAGGACCTGAGTTGACATAGGTTAACATGACACTGCTAATGGATGACTACCACTGCCAGCAAGTAATATTACAGTATGTTGAACCTCATAAGGCATCGTACATGTCTACACAAGACTGCTGTACAATAAAGTGTGACCTCTAAACACTGTTTCCATTCAGGGTGGGCGATGGCAGAGGGTTTCAGCAGGAAATTGCACTTATTCAGGATCTGCTCAGGTTGTAGTGAACTTGCGTGACTAAACATTTTTGCAGATGACTGGAGCATTTCCTTGTGCAACGATACAACAACCAAAAGAGAAGTGAGATCAAAGGTGTATATCGGTGTTCTTGTCTTCCAAAGTGTCGCAGTACCACAAAGGAGACTGACATGGCAAGAATGAGTGAAGCTGAAAGGCGAAGGGGGGAAAAAGAACCATGCACTTGGTTAAGTGTGAATGACTGCAGCTCGGAGAACCTGCAGCAGATCTTCAGTGTGCTTTGCCGAGAAACTGAGCGTCCCAAAACTGAAATGACTCTATGCTAGACGACAGTTCGCGCCTCAAGTCCCGGCAATGCGAGTGTCACTTGTTGTGTCCTTTAGCTATCTTTTTCATCACATTTACACATACACAGACACACACACAGGAGTGCTCATACACACACACATACGCACGCACACACACATACACACTTTGGGAGCATCAGCAGCTCTACCCCAGTGTCCTTTTCTGGCTAAACACTTGGTCCAAACACGAAAGGCCTTGACGGATTTCAGCAAAATTCTTCAAGCTCTGCCAAAGGTCTGACTCCCAAAGACACATTCCTACTCCTCTTCTTCCTCCTCTTCATCGGGTAGTGGTAGCAACTCCTCCTTCAGACACTCCCTGTAGAAACTGGTCAGTGTGGTGTAGAGGTGCTGACGACTCTGCTGAGACAGGAAGTGTCCCTCATCTGGGTAGATCTGGTGGGTAAAAGACATGGAAAACAGCTTTCAGGGTACTTTGATTGCACACAACCATCTCAGGTTTGTGGAGTCTTTTTTGTGTCTTTTAGCTTATTGTTTTTGTTCACTCTCATTCCTCTCATGTTCTTTGCTTCTATTAGTGGGACTAAACTAAAAAGCTTTGAAAACACAGTACAGACTAGTTCCTTTGCACCAAACAGAAGTAAGACAAAGTTATTGACTTTCTGGTTAATATATAGGGGTATTTAGCAGCTAAAAGGGCAGCTGTTTTGTGGAGGAAAAATGAAAACAGTGCTAAAAGAGAAAAATAACATTCGACATAATCTGCACTTCGATTCACTGGGTGGCCAGAAACACAACTTGCTCTTGCTCAAAGTGTACTGTTACTCAAACATTTCATTTCATTGACTTGTGCAGTGATATATAATCATTGTCTATTCCATTAGAATCCCACAGCTGCGTCTTCTGCTGTATAGCCTGGCTTCTGGGCAGAGTGAGGTGGGATTACCTCCTATTTTGCATCACATTTAAACAAAGTGCCAAAATTAATAGCAGAGTAGAGTTAATTTCATAAAGTGGAATACTTTAACCCCTCCCAATCAAAGCCTAAAACTATGCAGCAACTGAGAGAAAAAGTAAAAAAACAACACAAAACACAAAGGTCTGAATTAAATTATGGTCATCTACCTTCCACTTTACCAACCTCCGTATGGACTCTTGTAAGACAACTATTGTCTCTCAGCATTCAGTATTGCTGTGGTGCACTGGTGGCACGGACATCTTGCCGTCAGTGCACCACAGCCACTGGTGTTTCTGCAACACCATTAGCATCTAAAAGAATGGGATCAGAGCACGTTGAAAAAATCCTTGACGTAATCTTGCAACTTAGGAGATTTCTAGTAATGCAGTGGTTAAAACATACACCATGTAACTTCAATTCTCTCAGTCTGAACCCTTGTCATATTTTGTTTCTTTCACACACATGCGTTCTTGTCGAGAAGCATCATAAAATGCCAATTTGTTAGTGCCTCATCAGTGAAAACAAGGTTGCTTTTAATGCTGTACCTCTAATGCAGCACGAACTGCAATATAGGCAGCTGAGAGATAACGGTCACATTTTAGAGACCTACCAAGGCCACATTAGGAGGCTGAATAAGCCTCCTAATGTGGTTTCTTAGCCACAAGGTTCATCTCCTGTTTGGAATCTGCACTTGAAACTTACAACCCAATCTTACTAACCCACTACCAAAGGGAAGCTTTTGCATAACTGAGACATGTCAGTGACTTTCAAAGAACAACACACGTTTGTCACAGTTTCCTGGGAATCAGAACAAGCTGGACGTGCATTTAGAAAAGACAACAGCTTGGACTGTATCTCTGTAAGTTATCTTTACTGCTTATTTTAAAGAAAACCTTACATAATGAGCAGGTGCTATATTTAGGATGCACAACTTTGCTATATGAGCTCCACCACACGTTATTCTAGTCAAGCGACAACTATAAGATGCTCTGCCTAACACTAATCATGCCAGAGCTATGAGATCAACATGCTCCTGTTATGCTTTCTTTTTTAACACAACCTAAACAGGACATTTCGTTAAAATTCATAGTTCATAATTCATTGAACAAAGACACCATTTTTGCAGTTGTGCTTTGGTACACTACCACAGGGGATTTTAAATGAAGTAATCAAGATGCGATCAAAGTGTAGATTTTCTACTTTATTTATTTGCATCAACTTGCATTTTTATAGCTTATATGTGATACCCAAAGAAATGTCAGTGTGAGGGAGGCTATGCAAAATATATATTTAGAGCAGATAGGATCAAAGTAAAAAAGAAATGAAAATTTACTCGTAATTGTCTTAATTAATTAAAAAAAAATTTAATAAGGACGCTTCCGTGAATATTAAATGGTTAAAATCAAGGTATGGCCAAAGAATACTGAAAATATTCTGTAAAAAAAACCAACCTAATATGGAAAGTCTTTTATTTAAAAAATGTATTTATTTTATTTTGACACTGTATAACAGTTGAGCCATTTATCATTGCCATAGGTCATTGTTTTCTACCAAATGCACTCTAAAAACCTAGTGATGACATCTCTGGGTTACACACCTGCATTGAGTAGTTTGCTCCAACTTTCACAAGGTTCTTGACGAGCTCAGCAGTGTGCTGGAAGTGGATATTGGCTGGGAGTAAAAAGAGAAAAATGTCAGCAAGATTCAGCCTGAATCCTAACTGGGGAAAAAAACAGACAATCAGATTCTGGGAGAATGGAAATGCCTCAACAAATCCGACATGCATGGTTAATCAGGGAATGTTTTCCTCTGGAAATCCCAGCATCAATTTAGATAACCCACTTTTCCATTTATCTTTTGATTAAAAAGCATTTGCCTCATTACCTTCCAGGATTGCATGCCTCTTTGTGCTCAGCAGTGATGCACCACAGATAGCGTATTTTCATTTTTATCTACGATTTATTTTGCTTCTTACCATCTGCTGTGCCATGCACCAGCATCAGTGTCTGTTCCCTAAGAGCTTGAACATTCTGCAGCACACTGGAAAACTGCGAGAAAGAGTGGGAAGATAATTAATTGATAGATATGCTAACTGGCATTGAGAAATGAAAATAAAAAAGATGCAGAATGTGATCAAATGAATGGCACTGTACTAAATTACATTCTACATACAGACACACACCGACAGAGTCATTCAAATTAATTCGAGATCTTTAAGTGATAAGGCATCTCCCACAGATATTATTTTCTGTTCTTGAAATATCACAGATTGCATAAATTATGAGGAAAATGTAAGGTGTGGTACAGCAGAAGCCGTGAAATACTTGTCAGGGTCAGATTTGTTGTTTGTGCTTGTGCAAAAAAGTGTTTTGTTCTTCTTCACTGCCTCCTTCCTATCACACTGGGAGGAAAGTACAAAAAAAGAAAAAGTAAAGCAAAGCATCGCTGCCTCTGACTTTGATAGCAGCTGCTTTCAGTAACTGCAGGAGCTTAACTGTAGGTGTGTCATTGATGTTAACGTTTTCAAAGATCAACAGGAAACATGCTCGTGGAAGCAGTAAACACGCACCTGATATCTGCTGTCATCCCGTAATGGCATGCCGAGGTATCGTTCAGAGAACGCTGACGCTGTGCAAATGAGAAGTGAGACAATCTTAACAGTGCCACTAGCACACAGTGCTTCAGCTGCAGCTAAGTACCTGCACAAAGTGGAGATCCTGGTATTCAGGGTCCAAATTAAATACTTTTAGTAAAAAGGAAAGCAGCTTGTGGTGGTGAAAAAGTCATCTGTGTCATCTCAGTGTTGCAGAGGACAATGTTTACAGTGGTCAGATTCATCTCACACTCAGATTTCAGAAATAAACAGGTCATTTTTAGTGAGAGGCTAAAGGAGAAGAATAAAGTTTACATTTATTCAGTTTATTAATAAATGATCTAGGTTTACTTTGTCACTTTACTGTGTACTTTAATTGGTTGAATTGTCCGTTAATCATCAGATGTTGCAGACATGAGCTATGTCTTTTTCATTTGCTTCTGACAGTTAGAAATACAGATTAGTTTTTGGCTGTCATTGACATATTGAGCACTGCTCAATATGGAGAATTAAGTTTTGCTTTTGGGTGTAGACATGAGTCTAAATTGTTACACATGAGATGCATAATTCATGTTTGGGAAAATATACTGAGGTTTTAATGAATAAAGATGATGATGCAATATGGTGATGATAAATCAGGACCAACCGTTTCATGATTGTCTAAAAATGCTCTATTCTGGTAAACTCATAGGAGCTGTTAAAGTTGGGAGCTCACACAGTGCAAATGACAACAAGGGGAGTACAATCACAAAGCACGGAAATAAGAAAAAGCAGGAGACAAGACACAGGTGAAAACAATCAGGGAATTAGAGGGAAGACAGAGACAAAATATTACTGCATCTCTACTTTCCTTGCCATTTTTCCTTGGCCTTCATGAGAAACACTTAATGAGACCAAAGAGGAGTGATAAAGACTAAGAGAAAGAGAAACTCAATGTGGAGAGAGTCCAACCACACTAGGGATAAATCTGTTCTTCATGAAAGACAACACCTGGACAGCAAGCACTTCATGACAGCATTTTAATGTTCTAACCTTGGGGTTCAATGATTAAAAATTCAAAATACATATCAGTAGGTTAGGGTATGAAACGGACAATATGCTCCACCACTTTTCCAACTATGCTGATCTTTTAAGGAATGGTTGGATATTGCATCGCTATAAATTGTAGGATGATATTATCTCCTCTCCTCTTGCTTAGTATCTGAAGAATTCAAACAGTTGTTATGAGTGCCAGAATGAAACCTTCCTAACCAAAGCAGACTATTCAAATGTACCCATGAAGCTAGGACTTATTTGACATGCAAGGAAGAACAATTCCCAAAGCGAAACAAGAAGCAGAAACAAGGAAGACGAGGGAGCTAACCCGGAGGGAAAACATGGGAAAACAACAACAATGAAACACTGGGGACACTAAAAAGTATAAAGATAAAAAGAATATCACTTAAAAAAACAAAAATGCAGAACCAGAACATGTTCAATAGTACTGTGTTACAGTATAGAGAAATAAAGTATATTCTGTGCACATTAGTAACTAGAATATTCAAGCCAAATAAAACTGGTGTGGTACATAATGCTGCCTATATATATTATATATTTATTGTTGTGGACCAACACAATGGTCTGAAATTCCACAATGTATGAAATCCACAGGAAAGTCCACCACAGCAGTTTTACTGATCTTTACTTACATTTGCTTTGCAGCTTGTAAAATGTATCTTTAATGTGAATTAACCTCTTTTGAGAGATGTTTTACTCACCATAGAGTTTCCAGTCGGTCACTGGTGACATTGCACACGCACATTTAAACAGGCTGTCAGTAGACTTCAGCATCATTAATGTTATGTAGGCTCCATATCCCTAAGTGAGCAAACACAAACATTTATTCATCTCTAATTGCTGAAATCCATCGAGTGTAAAAATGAACTTGGATTCAATCTCTGGAGTCACTCAGTAGAAATTTTACTAAGTAGCTTCTTGGCACTTAATAATTTCAGCAATGGAAGTAAGAATAGAATTTAGATGGTCGCAAATTAAAAGTAGAAAAATGGAGGAAAAAAAGGAGGCTCACCTTTCCAAACACTGCTATCCTTGTCCGGTCAATGTATGGAAACTTCATCATGTAACTGGAAAAACACACACATGCTATATGACCTACAGAACTTCTTAAATGTGGTTGCATGGGAGGAACCAAGAATTGGATATCAATAAATATAAAAAAAAAAACACTTGAAAAATTGCAGAAACTTCAGTGAGTTCTAATGATTTTATTCTTGGATACATCTCCTGCCTTCATAAACATGCATGAGACGATATGACTGCACCATCAATTTGAGCACAAGAGTAAAGCAAATGATTTTAAATCCCGAGAGTCCTCCTCCTGCCTAAAGAAGGTTAAAAAAAAAATCAACTGTATATGTGTAAAGTCTGATATGAAACTGATATTAAAACAGAATCAAAAATCCAAAATCACAAATCACCCCTGACCCTCACTCCACTCACTCCACTATGTCATCTGCAAGGATCATAGTCGACCTGTACAACATCACTGCGCAAACAAGAAGCAGCTCAGAGCTAATATCTGATACAATCCCACCCTGTAACTTTTACACACCTCACCATTGTCTCATTGTCCTCATACATGTCTTTCACCACCTCTTCCACTCCTGTGTTCCTCATACAACACTTCCTCTCTTGCAACCCTCTCATATGCTTTCTCTAGACCCAAAGACATTGCAGCTCCTTTTGACCTTCTTTATAATTCTCGATCAACAAACTCACAGGAAAGATCACATCGCAAGACCCAAATCAAAAAGCATCATAACGTTACATGTTGAGTCTGGCTAAATGCAAAAATGCTAATGGTGACCCTGCCCCGACTCCTAAGAGACTAGAGTCCATCCTCAGTGTGCACCATATTCTTGCTGTGCCTGACTCTCCCTGTTTTGACTATAAAATGCAAATTAAGCAGAGTGTCTATAAACTTCAAAGAGTTCTGTGGGACAAAGAGGCTGACAGGATTTTATTTTTTTAATTAGCATGAACGAGCAGAGAATTTATAGTCCACTGATCACTTATTGCAGCTTACTGTACAAACAGTAGCAACAACAACTACTGCCTTACTACTGCCTTGCCCACCCGCAAAGTGCTTTGTTTGTGTACAACATGTGAATTTGACGATTAAATAATAAAAAAAAAAACTATAACCTGTTTTATTTATTCATTTTAACATTGATCAATTCCTGTAAGATGACACTGAGAAAGTTTGATAGTCATCACTTGGACAAAAGGTTCCAAAGTGTCTGTTCATAGAGGGGAATAAGCTTTTGATTTGGACGTATCGTGGGGTTCTCTCCTGGAAGAGTGACAATCTTGCTCCACTTGGTGGGAGCAATTTCCGGTGTAGCACAAACAAGCAGTGGAAAAAACATGGAGTTTACTGAGTAAATATGATTTTTATTGGGAAAAATCAAAAAAAGTTAGTTGATCCTGTTATGCTCACCATTTTATCAAAATTGTATTTGAAACTGTTTCACTGTTCATGAATGAAAACAACCTTTGGGGTTTTTTAACTAATGAAATGGACCATGAAAAACTTTGAGAACCACTGGCTTAAATTAATTGTAATAATTGTATTATACAAATATTAGAGTAACGATCAACATATGATTTTGACACTTGCTTTTTAAGTTACTTATAATTACTTTGGCGTTATAAATATGCATAGTAAAGTATTCTTTATCCATCATTAAATATGTCTGAAGGGTTACAAACTGAATATATATCTATATTTTTTTTTTTTAGTCAGGGGAGTTGTGACAGTTTTTGCATAGATTTTTTGATCATCCATTAAGATAAACATTCTGAATTTGTTGTTATTTAGGTATTTTTTGGAAATAACAGCAAAGGAAATCAGTATCTTACAGTATTTAACAAAGGTATGTATTGTCTGCTGTTAAATCCATGTGCTGTCTGAACTGGCAGCTCCTAAACCAAATAATGAAACATCCAGAACCTCTTATGATTTCATCTGAAACTGTTTACACTATGGTTTCCAATTTAAGTCTAGTCTATATTATGTTAAAAGGAATTTATCTGGAACTTTTATTCTTTAAAGGATTTCTTCCTTTATTCTTGACTTGATAACCATTTTCAAGACTTTAATTAGACACAGTAGTGCAGAAATATTCAGATCAAATAAAAAGAGGATGGCATTCTGCTTTAAATTCCAAACTGAGTTACAAAGCTCTTGTTCAGGGGATTTGCACATATTTTGAATTTTTTATCTCAAAGTACAAGAATAAAAAGTAAAAAGTAAAATAAAATGGATGTGATAACATACTCCACTGCTGCAATCTGGTCCTGAACATCAACAGTTCCCAGTCTCTGGTGAACTTCGTGCAGTATCCTTTGACCCTGGAAGCCGCCGCCCCGGCCGTCCAGACGGGCCACGATGATGTTGTCAGAGCTGACGAGGACCGAGTCCCAGCTGAGGGAGAAACGGTCACTCACAGCCTGACCTCCAGGGGCGCCGTCACTGAACAGAGAACAAACATAATCAGGCACTTTCAGGCAGCATGAAGCCGCATTGGTCATATAACCTCTGTAACTGGCAGAAATTCCTTTTTGAGCTGATACAACTTCCACAGTAAAAGAGGTCTAAAAATGAAAGAAAAAATTATGAAAGACAAATTTCAAAATTTTCACTCTCTGCTTGTTACCTTGGCTGTCAACATGTAGCTAAGCAATGTAGGGAGGAAATGAGAAAACAAGTAAAAAAAACACTGTGTGTGTGTGCAATGACATCATAGTGTTATAGTGGTTGGTGGTAAGATAGCGCCACATTAATCAAGTGCAGATTAATTGCAATCACCCTAACCATCCTAGGGCTGGTCAGTTTTCTGGAAGAAACCCTGCTTTTCCAATTAGGTTGTCATCCTGAAGCCTGTGACAAACAACAAACGCACAGCTTGCACCACAAACATCCTTCATCTTGTTCCACTGCTCCTCGGTGGGCAGCAACCTTCAGGGAGTCATTAGAACTCTTTGGACTGAAAGTACCTAATAACAGGCTTACGGTATTTATCAAAATACTATTAAGGAATTTGTTCAAGTTTAGCATTTTTGCTCATTTGTTTTACTTTCAAAAGTTACCTCAGAAGTTGGTCTAATCTACTTTGAGTTAAGACAAGTACTTCTAAGACTTTTAAGCTGATTCTTTCTAAAGACTGAAATAGCTTTTTTCATAATGCAACATGTGACCCAGTGCAAAGGTATGGTACATTGACTTATTTTTAGCTGTTTAACAGTTAACAATAATGTTTATTTTCCTTCATCTGGACCTTAGTGCAACCTTTCAGTTTTATTATATACATTTTATATGACAGAAAATAAGGAAAATAGGTTCTCTTTACAATCAGTCTGGCATAGAACACTTCATCCTGTCAGTGATTATTTTTGCTTTTATTGGTTCATTATTCAAATGGATATGAAAAAGACTGAATCACAGGTTGCCACAAAGGTACGCTGTGATTGACTTAACATGACCCCGGTTACTTTACATGCAAATTACGGTCAGGAGTGTGATTACAACTGGAAACGAATGCATTAAATATTCATACATTTTCTGTTCTCTCTTACTTGACCAAGGACTGTGAGATATAGTAGAAAGCACATGTGATACATACACGACCAACAGAAGTCCATAGTGGCGGGAATCAGAGAAGTCTGGTGGGTACGAGATCTTCAAAGGTAAATCTGTAACAAGAAATGAGAGAAAAGTCGATGTATTGCAGTTCACCAGTGAGTTACACTAACACCACAGAAACCTACACTTCAGTTCAGTTCATTTTTATTTCAAACATATACATTCACCAACATTTCATAAAATCTTTCCATGCAGTTGTTTGAAAAGGAGTAGGCAGAAGTATATACTTATTTAGCCCTACCCCCTCACTTCCTCACCAAAATGTTCCATTGGAACAGTTCTGAAGTCTGTCAGCTGGATCCTTTTGTACTTCAAGGCTGCCTTCAGCAAAGAGTTGTTCTCAAGGATGTAGTAATCTGTAAAGATGAGGGCAATGTGTTTAAAAGATGAAAGAGTGCAAAAATTGTTGTCAATAATCTGAATGCAAATGACCTGTACGGAATTGTCTTTTGAGGCTGTGATGTAATGAGATGAGATGGAAAGTGTATGTCAGACAAATAAGATCTGATTCTAGGGGATTGTTTCTGAAATAGTCTTATTTTGTGGCAAATTCATAGAGAGAGCTGAATAACTACAATAATGTAGCCAATATTAAACTTGGATGAGCACAGAAAAATTAATTCAAAAAGTTCAATTTCTGAAAGGCATTCTACACACAGCAGCTTCTGGCCTCAAAAACAGGAGTCCCACTATTTTCTCCACATGTAATGAACAGTGACTCTCTGATTTGGCCATTTTTCCATTCAAGCCATCTGAACAGCAGCTAAATGAAATGGAATTCATCCAGCATTTCTAATAGAAAACCCAAAATCAATAGACGTCTCATTATGAAACCGCCAGAGGCCTTGAGTTCCCAGCTGTGGATGGAGGCACTGTCCTAATAACCCTGTGCAAATTGCTTTTTCTGCAGCACAGCTGTTAACTTTTTCTTTTCTTTTCTTTTTTTTTTTTTTGTTGTTGTTGTTTTTTTTTCCTTGGGAAACAACACATACATGTGGATAACGAGAAAAAGAGTGTGTGTGTCCATTTTCATGCCAAAAATAGAAGAAAGAAATCTGGATTTGTTGACTGTGTGGTCAATGGAAGAGCCTACAACCTGGAAAAATTGGTGGTGGGTGACTGAGTGCAGTGAATTGTTTTTTGCTGTCGGAGACTGATTGCAAGTAGTTGTGACGACCAACTTATCAACCAGACTTTGGGCACGCGGCACCCTCAACCCCTACTCTTTGACAATGAGCAGAGTGGTTTCCAGTGTTTCAGGCTTTTAGTCACATTTGTATACATAGATCAGTACACAGTGAAAGCATCTCTCCCAGTCTTTTCTCAGCAGTGTACACACATTGAGAGCAACATTCATGCTTCTTCATTTTTTGTACCTCCTTCAATAGGTGCAGTTATATAACTCATGTGTATCAAAATGTACCTTCCACAAAGCTACAACTTCCCAGACAAGGAAACTGCAAGTTGATTGCACATGTTCGCAATCACTTTGTTTGCATCGTAGTCTCCAACCACTATTTTCCCGAGTGTGACTGTCGTGTGAGCTCTGCTGGCTCTGACGTACAACCAGATTCAAGAGGAAATACTTGTCAGCTTGTATTTAGGTCTTATACCAACTACATTTCCTTGGCCTAATGCCCACCCAGCCACTTACAAAATCGACTGTCAGGCAAGGATAGGAATCTGACGCTGCATGTGAGGATATTTACAGAAACTCTTTACTATTTGCTTTTATTTCCAGAAAAGATGGGATTGTTTTAGGTAAAAGAGAGACTCTGTTACAGGTTTTTTTTACAGTTTTAAATGCTTGAAAAGATGTTTAGTTCCCTCTATTTCTGCATTTAGGTGTGGCTTTAATGAGTAAATGTCTTGAACTGTACCGATGTAAATCAGGACATGTGGGTTGCTGACCCCTCTCCAGAAATCATACCTTTTACTAAATGGGACTCATTCTATTTTAGGATTTTCCCTACTTTAAACAGATAAGGGTTAGTAATATTTGAATCTCACGGTACACCTGGTTAGAAGTAGTTTGCCTGCCTTAATTTTTTGTGGCACAGATTCAACAAGGTGCTGGAGACATTCCTCAACAATTCTGGTCCATATTGACATGATGGCATCACACAGTTGCTGCATATTTGTCAGCTGCACATCCATGATGGGAATCTTCCAATCCAACACATCCCACATTCCACACATGCTGTATTGGTTTGAGATCGGGTGACTATTGAGGCCACTTGAGTACAAGGAATGCATTGTCATGTTCAAGAAACCAGTTTCAGATCATCTGAGCTTTGAGACGTGTTGTGTTATCCTGCTGGAAGCAGTCATCACAATATGGGTGCACTGAACCCATGTGAAATGTAGCCTCAGTTTCTTGTTCTTTGCTGATGGGAGTGGCATGTGGTGTGGTCTTCTGCTATTGTAGTCCATCTACTTCAAGGTTCAAAATGCTTTTCTGCATACTTCAGTTGTAAAAAGTAGTTATTTGAGTTACTGTTGCCTTCCTGGGGCTTTTTTTTTCACCTCTGACATCAACAAGGCTTTATGATCCAGAGAACTGATGCTCACTGGATATTTTCTCTTTTTCTGATAATTTTCTATACAATCAGCAGTTTCTGAAATACTCAGACCAACCCGTCTGGCACCAATATTGTCACTTTCAAACTTACTGATGTAATTTTTCTTCTCCATTCTGATGCTAAGAATCAGCAGGACATCCATGTCTACATGCCAGAGTTGCTGTTGGGTCTGCGCTTCCACAGGCCCCGCTGGTTTAGAGACTTATTCCCATTAACGAAGCAAGATGAACAGTAATCGAACAATTTTACTTGCTAGCAAGGGACGCTGGTCGGAACCAGGCTCTTGGAGCTGAACGCTCCTCACCTGTTTCCTAGCTAACTTTAAATAAACAGCCTTCCTTGCAGCCTTTTATTGACTACAGTTACAGTTTACATAGGCACCACCCATTGTAACACCCCCTGTGGTGTGTCGTGCCCTTGTATATGTGTGTATGCATGTGCGAGAATGTGTGTGTGGGTGTGTGTGTGTGTGTGTAGGTGCCCGTGAGTGTTTGTGTTTGTGGGTGCATTTGTGTGACCTCCTGCTCACCAAAGGGTCATAAAGGCAGGAAGTTTACTTAACAAGAAAACAGAACCTTCACCTAGGATGTGCCTATAATAAAACACTACAGCCTCCCCCACCATTCAACAGGCTGGGGAAGGAGTCAGAAACAAAGGAATGTCTTTGATCACATAGTTTGCACCAAGACTTACAAATTTAAGTAACACAATGACAACATTTAACAATTTGACTCTAACAGTTGCTGTCATGTGATTGGCAGATGTCAACATTTGCATTGATAAGTGGCTGAATATGTATACCTAAAAAGTGCATATTCATAAATTACTTGAATACTTATAAATTTGCCTTATTAAGTCTACTAAGCCGAGCTTCTAAGCTCTCTGAACTTCTCTAACTTGCTTGCTTCAGCCTGGAAAATTCATCTTGGTCATGAAGTTCCAGAAATGTTGTCATTAGCATAGAGGCTACTTGTTGTGACTGTCAGTTCCATTCATAAAAATTGGGAAAGAAAAACAGAAGAGTTTCTTTGCTCTGTGAGAAATTTCCTTTTTATCAGTGAAATCTATATTTGTTACAAATTCTCCGAAACACAGCGACCAGTGACTCTTTGGCAGTCACCCAAAGGGGAAGACAGTAACAGAGATTTTGGCTGAAAATAACTGTGGTGAACAGGAACATCGGGTAAGTCTTATGAGATTTGACTTTGTCGTCTATTTTTGTTTGGAAATGTTTCTACAACACTTACACTTAAACTCAAAATAGATTCAAATTAAAGCAGTCAGTTCCATGAATACACCCTCCTCCACCCACCCATGTTGCTTGTCAAGGGAAAATAACATTTACAGTTCTTGCAAGAGGCCTATTGTGTTTGAATGTCGCCTCATTCACAAACTCTGAGTTACTTTTTCTAAAATGTGAGATACAAATAAACTTACTTGAATTATTCAGACTGTGTAGGATCACAGTAGGTGCTCCTGGACCTGAAAGGAGACAAAAAGAGCATCTAAGTAATTTAAGCAATTTCCAGCATCTTTATTATCATGACTGGAGACATTTCCTGTTAGGATGCCTGGGTCGTTGACCCAGGGTTTTTGAGTTTATTATATTATTTATAATTTCTAGTCTTTGGGTTTTTGTTAGAGTCATGTCTTATGGTTTGTTTCTGTGTAATCCTTAGTTGCTGTCTCCCCTGTCCGCTATATCCCTGTTTCCAGTCAGTGGCTGTGTCTGCCCTGGTCCCACGTCTCTGTTCCCTCTGTTGTAGTGCCTGCATGTGAGTCTGTCTTTTGTTCAGTGTGTGTTATGCGTTTCCTGTTTTACTTTGAAGGTCTCTGTCTTATCTCAGTGTGTTCCGTTTACGCTTCCTTGTCTCGTCAGTTCTGATTTGCCCCAGCTGTGTTTCCCTCCTGTTGTCCATTCCCTGATTGCTCCCTCTATGTATTTAAGCCCTGTGTTTCAGTTTGCCATTGTTGCGATCTACCTTTATCTTGCTGTGTGTTTTGTCTGCATAGGTGTATTTTGTATTCTTAGTTTTTGTTACCCTTTTGAGTTCAGCATTAAAGCTGTTTTGAGTTACTTTCTGTCTCCGGAGTCTGCACTTTGGGTCCTTCTCCTGCCTGCACACAGCCGTCACATAACATTTCCACCTGACAGTTTGCCCAATTACGATTAAATGGTATTTAATATATGTAAAGGGGCTCCTTTAAAGCTGCTCTAAAAGGCCACTGTAGGCAGCTGTTATGTCACCTTCCCTATATTTTCTTAAATCAATTAGGGGTTAAAGGTCACTCGAGATGCCTCCCTAATATCAAATTAAGCCAGTACTTGTTAATGCCCTTCTCTAATATACTTTGTCAGAGGTTAATAGGATGGCAGGTGTGCTGTACTTAAAGCTCTCCTTTCTTTGAGTTAAAACACAAACCAACTTTTCCTTTATTTCCTTGCACTTATCTGTTGGTGGGCTGTATTAGCTTTGACCCAATGTTACACAGAGAAATGGCTTCATTTTGTGCATGTACCTGCTAGAAAACAGTAAACCAATCAGATCACTTTATGAGTGGGTTTAAGAGGCTTGTGCTGATGAAAACAGGTGTGAGAAGAAGCTTGTCAGGATTACGTGAACTTGGCCTTTGGAAGACAACAAGCTTTCTCCATTATTTTTATTGCTTTTGGGAAAGGGAACGCAGTTATTGTCCAATATATCATCACGCCAAAGCCCAAATGCCTCCTGCGCATGAAGAGCTTTCAGCTGTTCAAAATAAATTGAAACCACAAACAATATGAGTTACCCCTCATTAAATAATCTACTTGTTGCCCAATAATACTCCCTAAAAGCGATTACACACAATGTAGTCGCTAATTATTCATTTTATGACTCTCATTTCAAACTGATGAGAGATTAATTTTAAACTGAATCAGGAGGGTGACAGATCATGACTAGCAAACCCAGGCATGTGCCAGACAAATAAATGGATGCTGAATAAATAAGGAACGTAAAACACAACATAATCCTAATTTGATTTTTTTTAAACCAGCAGCCATCTGCAGCTATGTTGTAATAGAATGAAGCGCCACACAAATTGCTTTAGATGGTTAAAATTGTAAAGATTTAATTTTTATTAATGTAACTGTCCATTTAGGTGATACAGGCCAGATGCCATGATGTGGAATCATCCCAACATCATGTAAGTATCTGCATGTGCTGATGTATCGTAACGTGGTCTGGCGAAGAAGGATCGGCTAGCAGGTCTAGTGGACATGTGGTGTGGAGGCTAGCCGGAAAACTTGGAGGCCAGTCAGTTAAATAGAACAAAAGACCTTTATGTGCCGTTAACAGAAGAAAACCATACAAGCCAGGTCTCCATAGCTCCATCCTATTCGTACATACATGTGCCGGGGGTTAGGCAGTCGCTGGTGCCAGCCCGTTACAATGGTAAGGTCTCTCTAAACAGATGCACGGGCAACAGCATGCTTGGCTGTAATGGCTGCCGCTGCATTCACACTAGGATACTCTGCAACTACTACAATAATAGAATGACACCCCCTAGTGGTGCTATACCATAATAAGGGTCGTTACAGTATAGTTGTTCAATTCTAGCTCTTTGGTTGGCATAGACAGCAGGCTATGAAGCTCATCAGCCTGAGGACTGGAATGAAAGAAAACGTCAATACTGCTGTGTCAGTTTTGGGTAAGTTATGAAGCTGCAAGTGTGTAACAACAGCAAAAAAAGTCAGAAAGTTTCATTTGGAATTCAGCAGGCAGAAAAAGTAATTTTAAAAGAGCAGGATTGCATTCAAATATTCTCTTGACATCCACCGGAGAGGTGTGCTACAAAACGAGATTAATGGGTTAGTGAAGTGCGTCGAGCTTAAAGTCAGAGTTTTGAGTGTCGTGAAGACAGATGCCTTTTTACCTGGGTGGGTCACCATGGTAACTTTTGCTGAACATACATCCTGATCTGAAGCTGGTTGGGTTCAGAGTTTCAGTTAAAAATTGCCTGTCTGTATCTGTTCTTTTCATTACCATACGCTCTAAGTGTTATAAAGATGTTCAGCAGAAGAAATGCATTTGATAAACAGATGTAACCTCTAAAGGTATGCCAACACTGTGTGTCGCATTATCACAGGAATCTGCACGTCTATCTTCAGTTGATGAAAATGTATCAATTATGTTTTTAAGCTTGGTCCTCATTTGCTTTCAAGTCTGTTTTACACCACGCTAATAAAACACAGATAAGAAAACTCAGTCAGTCTGTTGATAGTCTAATTACCAGCAAAAACTTTTGTTTATCTGGCTGCAAACTATAGGACAGTCAGTGCTGTGTGTGCTGAGGAGCATTTAATGTTTAGAGTTTCAGAGCTCTAATGTGCAGCTGTCAGAGCAATAAAATAAACATGTTTACTTAAGAGTTATTCTCATTTTATTTGCAGCAGCATCGTTGCATTTGGCTGCTTTATTTTTCATATCCTTTATAGATCCTTATCACCTGTATGCCTGATAATTGGATTTGGAGTGCTGCACTCAATGCATCCACTATGTGCAGATGGAAAGCGAAATGACACTTCAAATGCCTCCTTTTATGTGTGCATGCACATAGCCTGAAGCAGTGTGGCTGATAACCACTGTCATGAATACCCGTTATCTCTGAGTTGGGTTGTAGGTTTTGTTGAACCAGCTAAAGTAAAGAAAGCCCAGATATGTTTAATTGCTTTGCAGTACACAGCTCAGGTCTGTTGTGAACTCATTTAGTTAGTTTGGCTGTACTTTCTGAATCAAGACTTTTTTATAATAAGTCTCATATTTGCATTTTGAACTTGCAATTCTTCTTTAATAGTTTTTCCCATTTGGGAATGCCAAACAAGCAAATATTTCATAAAGAGATGGGGGTGTTAACCTAACCTTAACCCCTGTGTGTATTACTGGTAGCCTGCATGTTGTTAAGAGGTTAAATTCATTCCCTGATCTAACAACGTGGGTGGAAGCAGACTGTTGTCTGCACCAGACTGTTGTGATTCTCTAAATCACGCCCACGTTTGAACCTCAGAGTCAAATCCCTGAACTATTTTATAATATAATTTTTCATAATAAGACCCCAATCACTTGGAAGTCTGTCACCCTATGAAAGCCAAAGACACTCTGACAGCAATTTGAAAGGGCATTTCATAGCAGGAAAACTGGATGGCCCTTAAAGTGAGATACTGGTTGGCCTACCTTTACAGTCGAGGATAATGTGCTGGTTCGTGGGGCTGATGTCAGCGTCGAAGTACAAACAGTGGGCTTTATTCAGTTCACATGTTAAACACCGTCGGGGGAACAGGCCCACAGTTTTAACACTGAGAAGAGAAGAGCATTTAAAAAACAGAAAAAGAGACAAAGCACATAAAACTTTTTGAGTAAGAAAGTAAAGGACATATTTCTTGATCTTTTTTCATGATAACTCCCCCGAAGCGAACAAACCAGTAATAAATCATATCCAACTGGAAAGTATTACCTGTCTCGTTACAGGCTGGTATAGTTTACTCTTTTACATAAAGCACTTTTTTCACAGTTTTTTGGCATTTTTATATTTAACCAGTAGTCAGAAAAATAACTGGGAGGTGATTAATAATACAAATTTTATGTGTGAACTGGTGATAAAGTGGCCAAAATATTCAGATTAATCTCTACTAGTTCCAAAAAGTCAACCATATATCAATGTAAGAATAATGTGACAATTGTGAAAGTGAAAAATTCTTTGCAACCATTTTTTAAATATTTTTTTTTTATCCCATGTTCATCATCATCATCATCATCATGTGAGTAAACTTACTACTAATAAAAGTCCCTTGAGTTCTCATGATATAAGTTCGAAAAGTTTTTAATCATTTTATAAAAATTATTTAATTAATAATAATGATGCAAACCTGAAAAGCTGCCGTCTCCGTGGTGAACCCTCAGTGCTGAGAAAATAACTGTTAGAGGACATAAAAGATAATTAGTGCAAACAGACATGCTAAATTAAACACAGAAGCTCATTATCTCCTTGTTTTCTTTGTTTAAGCGAAATTCATACATTTAATTACTAAAACACACATGTGCCATGTGTCATAGGAGAAAAGGAGATTATCAACCCAACTCTTGTTATTGTTGTTTTTTTTCTTTAAATTAAAATTTTCTATTTGTTTGTGGCTAAAAACATTTAAGATCAACACTCTGGTCAGCTCTATTCGATCTTTTAAAAACACAACAGCATTAGATTAGCTAAGTAAGATTCAGTAACGCATGCTTGTGGTCACAGACTTGGCAAAACACATCACTGCTTGAAACACTTATGAATAGGAGGGTACAAATTTCACCTTAACAAGCTCCTAATTTCTTAGAGAAGTAAAACAGAACAATCAAACAGATGGACAATAATAAAACTGAAATAAAATTACAATTAGAATAAGAGAAACAGAGTGGAAAAAGAAAAGTCATCTTTTAAGTTGGTTTTTTTTCATCTTATCATTTGCGAGCCTTATCTCTTCATGCAGGTTGTGGTGAGCTGAGAGGTCCTGATGGTCAAGGCACTGCCAGGTTTAATTTAAGCATCAACATTGGAACGGCCAGAATGGCTCCACCATAGGATGTAAGCCCGCAGACTGGTGTATATGGGGTCAACATTTCTCCTGGGTAGCCTGAGCCCAGAACCATACATGCTTTAAAGGTGATCCGTAAAATCTTAAAATCAAGTTGTGTGCTATAAGAAACCCAAACTATCGATTTCTTAACTACTCTGGGGTGAGAGGATGACTGTTTTTTTTAATTAATTTTTTTATTGAGGTCAGTAAAGTTTGTAGTTTTAGGGGGAGTTTTGCGGTCACACTCACAGGTTATCGGTGTCCTCATCAAAGGCAATGATCTTTGTCACCTCCCAGTTTCCAGACGTTAGATGTCGGACTTCATTTTGATCAGCTCTGAACTGAAAAAATCAGAACAACAGTAGTAGAGGGTCATTTGACTGAGCGCCATCACTTAACTCATGCTCAGGTGTCAGTCAAACACTACATATTCAAAAGTGCCCATGCCAGAAAAATATCAGTCATTAACCCAACAAAATGGAAATATTTATGAGCTGAATCAATCAGTAGATTCCATCATAGCTCTGATTCTCTACTGACAATAAAATAGTACACTGTTCCTTTTTCAATGGATTTCCTTGGATGTTTTTAATACACTTGTACATGAATATGTCCAAGATTTACATATAGTCATAGAATTATATAAATTTTTAGTTAAAACCCATGAGCAGTACACATTTGTTTGTTCAGCCTGGCCATGAGCTGTGGAGACATTCATACAAATCTGGTACAGGTTAGATGTTTGTGGTTTATTTTTGTCCTCATGACTAAATAAATGTATAAATTTAAACAGACAAACACACAGGAGCACTGCACTCACACGTGACTGTAGCAAAGATGCCAGACAGTACATTGTTTGTTTGTAGCACAACAACAGAGATTGGAGAGACACTGTGGGTGAAATATGCTCTGCGTGCAGCTTAAATGCACCTTCAGGGAGAAGACCAGGTGGATGATTGGCTGTACGGAGTGTCAGACTTTAACATGCGAGACTGCTGGACTATCCTCAAGAAAACCATTTGTTAAAGTGGTGCCAGATTTTTTTTGGCTCAAGCCAATAAAGCTTTCATTATTCAGAGGGTTATAGAATATCTGGCAACCAAAGGGTTAAGCAAAGTTAGGCACAAAACTGGCATTTAAAAATCAATCCGTTTTTACATCCTTCAGGCACTAATAATGACTGAAAAGCTCTAAAAAGTAAAAATAACAGTTTAAATGAAAATGTCAAAGAAGATGATGTTAAATACGTCCCAATCACAAAAGCCAGGCAGACAAAGAAAGGCACACAATCAACTTTGGAAAAATGGCTAAAAGATTGACAGACTAAAAAAGAAACTTCACAGTTTACAACTGTGCTAAAAACAAAAAAAAAAACAAAAAAAACAGTAACACAAGCAAGGTTCTGCATCTTTAATGACAGCTATGAGTCCTGCTCGTTTCAGCTCAGAGTCAAGCCTCTTTGCTGGTTGTTGAATTGCTGCAGACAGTAGAGGCTTGGGGTTTCTTCTTCCTGCTGAAAAGGTTTTAAAAACTCCAATTTCTTTTTGCTACTGTTCTAATCTAAAAGCCCTTTGGCACTGTTTTTCAATCATCTAATAAAACAGATTTGCCTTTGTTCTAATCAGTCCAGCTGTCTGCACACCTGGACTCTAGTTTCTGGAAGGCACACATCTGAGAAGTGGGCAGCCCTTCCCCGTGAACGGTGGGGTGTATTTTTTGTTAGTTTTAGGATGATCCCTAAACATGTTGGCCCTTTTTGCAATAAAGCAAATTGAGTAGCGTTTTTGCTGGCATGTGAGTTTTTGTGCAGTATCTGTTGAAACCTTGAACTGGTTTGCTGTGGTGAAGGGAAAGCTCAGGATGAAAGCTGAAGTGGTTGATTTACTGCTTGCTTTATGTTTCTAAACTCACATATGTCCATGACCTGTAAGTAGGGACTGAAAGAATAAGACTGAACTTCCTCCAAACGATGTCTGGGCTCAGCCCCCTTTTTTCCCAGAAGAGTAATCACAGAAGTTATCACAAAAATGAGGTTTCAGTTAAAGTATGCATCTTAACAACAAAAGCCCTCAATACTGAAAAATGATGCCAAGCAGTCAAGACCCACCTCGCTGTTGCCTAAACTTGGTTGTCACAGCACTCATGTCTTAGGTCTATCTGTGAGACAGCACCCGCATTAACAAAATGGGAATATTCAGCTTTCTAGGAATGAGAAAATTTTGGTGAAATCTTCTAATCATAAGTGTAATAATGACTTATGTTTCCAGGGAATCACAAGTCAAACTGACAGAGGGCTCAGTGCAGCCTCTGCGACGATTTGATCGCTGTACCGGTCTGTAGTGTTTAAAAAAAAAAAAAAAAGTTGCACATGAAAGCAAGGATCTCAATTTTATTACATTATTACACACGTCATGAGTGAAGTAATAAGAATTGAACTTGCTCTAAACGGTGTCTGGGGTCTCACTTAGAGATGAGGTAGGAGCCTGGTTATTCAGGGGGAGGTCAGAGTAGAGCAACTGCCACTCCAAATTGAAAGGAATTAATTGGCTTGGACATATGACAAGGATGCCTCCTGGATGCCTCCTAACTGAGGCATTGCTGGGATGTCCAGGGGAGGGAAAACCTTGGGGGAGATCAGGATACCCCGCAGAGATGACAGCTCTCAGTCTGCTTGCATCTTTATTTCCCTGAAAGAAGTTGATTCTTACCTGACACGATGTCATAAAGCCACAAAACATTCTGGTTCGGTGGACTTGAATTGACCATGCACATCAGAAAACAGATTTATTATAATCATTCCAGTCGTGAAGATTATTATTATTATTATTATTATTTTTTACAAATATCAAAACAAAGTCGTTATTTTAATATAAAAATATTGCGTTATATTCTTTTTTTTTTTTTTTGCCCAAACAGCCTGTTTACATTTTAGAACATTTATCAGACCTGACAAATCCATTACAGACCGAACAGGCTCAGCCAGAGATTTATTTCTGCAAAAACTAATACTGCATGAATTCTTACACTGGAGAACGAGTTCCCATAATTGGAAAACAATCTGAGGGAGTTAAAAACAGATTTCAAATAACCCTGCTTATTTCTGCTAACATCACTGAAATCTTGCATACAACTTGCAGATCTGTGGATGTGCATGGGAAAACTTTAATATCTGTGCTGATGAGAACAGGCTATTGGATTTTGTGCTTGTGTTGGTGGGGGGAGGGATGAGGGCTATCATGAAATAGATGATTATTGCAACATTTTAATTAACAATTCGACAGCATCACAAATAAAGGTGACTTTAGCTGTGGCTTTGATGCAACATCCATCGCATTAACATAAAGTCTTGATCTCAGTCCTTTATAGACTTTGGTCAGATATTGGTTTTATCTCACTTTGAGGTACATAGTGTCTTAGTTGCCTTGACACACAATAATGGGCAAATTTGAATCCTACAAAGTCCATGTGAAGAGGTTGGAGGGGTGGCAGGGCCATGTCGCATGTTTATAAGACAGGAGATTGTGGTCTGAGTCCACAGGACTTGCACTTTGTCAGATTTATATAAGCCTGCGTTTTCCTAATTCTAAACAAGTAGTATTATCACCATCAGCACTTAAACTGGTATGTCACGCTCTACTGTCAAAGGATACCTTGTAGTTACTGAGGAAAATGAATACGCACAGTAGTTACACAATACATATATAGCTTTAAAGTGACTATGAATTCAGCATTCACCTGCGTAGTGAACATGGCAATATGATGAAACTCTCCTCGTCCTCCTTGTTTGACCGGCACTGTGAGGAAGAATCTGTTGCCATCTTTGGAAAACACGGGTTCCTGATTCTGTAGAAAGCAAATATGTGTCATATATTTAATATTATTTTAACAGATGAACCAGAATGTGCCTATTTATTTCTTAGAACATTAGACAAATTGCACATTTTCCAGTGTATCTGTAAAAGAAGCTGTGGAGCATGCTGAAGAGTCCTGCTTTCAGAGGCATACATTACATAGTTGCCAACTGCATGAACAAGTGGATGGAAATTATGCGCGGATGGCCTCCACAGCTGAGAGATGGCCAAACCACTTTTTTACCTGAAAGTAGCAATCTGCAGTGATTGTATATAAAGAGACTGTTGACTGACTAAATGAGTGACTACCCATTTTGTGGGAAGAAAATGGATTGTTAGCATGGACGGCAGTGAGGAAAGAGGATGGATGATTTAACTCTATGTGGCACTTTAAGCAGGACAGTGGTAAAAAAGAAAGAAAAAACAGAAAAGTTTAGTCCTTGAAAACAGCTACTAAACTGTAGTCGGATTTTGGGAATTTAAATTCATAACAGAAGCCCTGCATTGCCTCATGTAGACAGGCTTTACAGTGCAGAGGGAGTTAGATGTAAATAAGGGGCATTATAAGAAATGAAAGGGGCATCATTGGTGATATGTGATTCATAGGGTATTTGATTCTATTTATGTATCTGGTGATGCTAAGTTCGCCTTTTTAAATGTGTTTAGCCCCTCAAATTTAAAGGACACACAAAGTTTATGGGCTGGATTAACCCTTTACCATAACTCACATTTTTTCTCTTAAGAGGGATTTTATTCTTCAAAAAAATATTCTTAAAATGAATTAAGGTAGTCTTAGTCTGCATACCTGGAGTAGTTGTCTGATAACAAAAAAATGACAGCCAAATAAAATGTCATGTGATATTTTATCTAAAAAAAAACAGACATATGCATTTTTCAAACTAATTTAAATGCTCACTGATTAATAATAAATTCATATTTAAAATGAGTTTAAATTCAGTCCTTGTAAAATCCATAAAAAGATGCAATTTTAGTTTTAACTTGTCAACTAAATTTGGATTTAAAAGCCATGATCATCTGAGTAAAATTTACACAAAAATCCACATTTAACATTATGAAAAACATTATTAACACTATTTAAACTACAATAATAGTTACAAATGATTAACATAGAAGAAAAATATGCAATAATGCAGTCAGCAGGTACCGTATAAATTAAAAAAAATAATTATTAATATTATTAATAATAATAAAATAATACAATTGAAACCTTTAATGTGATTATATTTGTAAATTGCTCAGCAAATGTAGACTTTTGTCTATTTTTAATTTTTAAAGTGTGATTCTGTGTTTTTAGTTTCTCTAATTTTCACTACTGAACATAAACAACACAAAATCACATCACTGCACACATGATATTTGAAGAAAAGTTTAAATCTCTGGAACCAAAACTGTGAAAAATAGAAACCCTCTTTACTCTAAACTCTAAATTCTGCCTCAGTTTGGGATAGATTAACTAGAATGGATTTTTCCATGATGTTATATATTGGTATTGAACAGAAAGTCATTAGCAAAAGACCTGTCTACACTGGCACAACCACAAAATTGAGCTTCTGTCAGATTACCACCTTTACCGATACACGCAGCTTGCCAAGGATGTCAGTTGGTTAAATTAGACACTGCTTGAGCCAGCCGGGACTACAAGATCAAATCCTGCCAGAAACTCTCCTACTCTGCCTTCATCACTGCTCTGATAAAGCTCAGAGCTGACTTCAGACCACCTTAGGAAGAAATGAAAACATAGATAAATGGGAAACTGATTTAAATCTGAACTGATGATAGTTAATATAATTAATTTATCAAAATGTAAAAGTAGCAAAAACATGTTTGTGTGTTGTTCTGGCTTTTATTTGGCACTGGGTTACTGAATATTCATAGCCCTTCCAACATAAAGCAAAGGGGCTGATGAACAAAAAGAACACATTATTTGTAAATTACACTTTTTACATGAAATGTTTACTTATTATATTAATTTGTGGATGCTAACAGTTTAAATTTTTCTTGAATTGAAAGCCTCAAGAATAAAGTTTAACATTTTTTTAAATGAGCCTCATAAATCAACTGAAAAACAGGCTGCAGTATTTTTTTTTGTCTATACCATAGAGTCAGGAAAAGGGAAAATTCACACATGTGAATAGTCTTTGCTCTCGCCTCACCTTTCAGTCTGTGCTTGAGTCAGTTTCAATATTTCAGGGATACAGAGACTTTGAGAGTGTCTATATAAATACAGATAACTAAGAAATTCTACTTTGTGTTGCGTAATTTTTGAAAAATGTTGAAGCAGACATGATTTTCAAGTGAAATTACAGCAATGGAGCACAAGCTTTTCAAAGTGACAGGCACTGACATGTAGAATAAAGAGAAGCTTACCTGCTTGGAGAGCCAGAGCTCAGAGCTTTCTTCATGTCTCTGAAAAACACATCAGAGCAAAATGTCAAATGAGTGTTAATTCAGCCACATCATAAAGATCTTCTCATCTGTTACAGCCTTTCTTTCAAGGTTCTATTTTCTGCTTCTATTTGGTGCATTGTGGTTTGGAAACTGCACGATAATTGATGTAATCACGTTCTTTCCCAAAATCATTGGTCTTTTATGTCAGCAAAATATTTACATAAGTGGTATATTTCTAATACTGTGTAAAAGTGATGCTGGAGTAGCACTTCAGTGGCTCATTTTCCAGACATAATCATCTGTCATGTAATGGCCCCCTTATTTTGCTGTTTATTTTAACACACCACTTGGGACATCATTCCCAGTTTGAACCCTCATTTCAAACCAATATGCATAAGCAGAAGCCAGAGTTTTGGCAAGAGGGCTCTGGGTGCTGTTTCCAGGCCTCATCTAAGCTGCCTCTTGGCTGGACAGCGTGTTTGTCCATGCAAATCACACCAAATCAGAAAAGTGCAGAATTGGAGAGCGGCCTGTCCAGTCCCACGGTTCAACTGCGAGGTTAACACTGCTCTGTGTTGCCCAGTAAATATGGAGAGAATGTGGAACTGTGCTGCAATTTCGGCGGAATTTTTTCTCTAAACTAAAGAGTGCTTTTAAAACTTTTTCCGTCAGGAAGGCCAAAAGTACCTGTGTTTCTAAGTTTTGTTTTCATCACTCAACGACAAGTTACTGAACAGCCATTGGGTGAAACTGTTCTCAAAGAGGTATTAGGCGCTGTACCAAACCCCTCCTTGCTATAGTTTTGGTCGCTAGCAGTCTGGTCGCAGTCACCAGTTATATGTATGAAAGACACCAACTTGTCTTTGGTAAAGACACTTTGAAAAGTAAACAATGCACACTTCAAACTAGAATTTGCAAGTAGCTAGTGAGTGTTCCCAGAAAAGTCAGCATCTTCCATGCAAACTACTGGCAATTTGGCAGTCTGCTAACGACTGAAGCAATTACAGGTAGGTACAGTACTCTGTGACAAACTCCAGCTAGCATCAACCATATCTTCAGCACCAACCTCCAGCAACCACTTCCCAACTGTCTCTGGGACACACATTTTTCTCGAACAACCCGACTTTCTCCGTGGCAAGCTAACAATCCAGCTAAGTAATAAGCTTTACAGCCATAATAACAGTTACAGGGGTTATTACAAGGGGGAAGACATCTCTCTGAGTCTGCATGGCACAGGTCCTCTGTGGGGAGAATCCTCTAATTGCAGCAATTAAGCCTCCTCCCATATACAGAACTTATTTCAGTAGAAACTTTCTGGATTTAAATGCTTCCATTAATATTTGTGTGATATAAAAATTAATGAAGTCCTATATTTTGTCAGTTTTTAGTGATCTGGTTTCAGAAATACTCAAACCTGCCACAAGCAAAACACAAGATATTAAGTAAAGACTTAACATCAGCTCTTTGATCATAACTAAACACTCTATCACATTAAGAGTTTAATGTGGTGCCTGTGCAATGAAGATAACACATGTCTGTGTAACTGCTGAAAAGGTTAATGAGAGTCATGCGAAAACAATCAATGTGCTTTCTGTTTAACATGAATAAAAGATGCCACCCTTGTTGCCTATCCTTACTTAGATCTTCATCTCACAGCAACAAAGCAGACAACAATCAATTGGCGATCTCAAAGAAGAAAAGGATCTAAAGTAACAAGAGCTGAAGTTAAGAAAGACAAGTTTAGAAAAAAATGCTCGTGAGTTTTACCTTGAAAATCAGATAAGATGTTCGAACTCACAAGGCAGATCTAGCCTTGGTCAAATGATCTCTTAGTTAAGTGCTAGCTGCAAAGTTTTTAAACATGAGTGAATACTTTGTTATATCAAAAACTGAGAAAATAAGTCTTTTTTCTATATTAAGGAAGTTAGCGATACTTTATAACATGAGATAAAAGAAGGAAAAATGTGTTAACAATTTTTCTGTCCACACAAAAAAACACACACACAGACCGTGACGCAGGCTCCGGTGGTGGTGTCACACACAGTCAGGATGGAAATGTTCTGGGCCCGGTTTAACCATCTAACAGATGTCTTGGTCTTGCTGATCCACTTCACCATTGTTACATAATGTTCCCTATAAAAAAAATGATATCATAATGGTCATATCATGTCCTGTAATTACATGTTCACAAGCTAGATGCTTTTTTAATTTAGCACATCTAAAACCTATTAACAACTACAAACAACTGCTCTACACACTTAAGAAAATGAACCATTTGCACAGCTGAGCTCACTGGTTTTTACACCTCTACAAATTACCTCAATGTCAAGCTGCTTTTTTCCTTTTGTTAGTTCTCTTCCACACAGTCCTATCATGCTGGTAAATGGCATGCAGACTTTCAACATTCATTAATATCCACTCAATTCTGGCACACAGTAATGCAAGATTTCTAAATGGTATTTGCAGTTGTAAAATAACTGTGACACCAATTGGTCATTGTTTGTTTTTTTTTCTTCATTTTAAGAACTGAAAGCAGTTTTAACAACTACATGCGCAGAGTGAAAGATTTCCCAATTACAGGTGCAAAGTTAAGAGTGAGAAAAAATGATCATCTGAAGTTTGAAATGTCAGAGGTATCCCTTTAAGTGGCACAGCAGCTGGTGCAAAAGATTGGCAGGGAAAATGCAGCTCCTCTCACCGCAGCTTGAGTGTCTCTGGAGGCATGAGCTCCAACGTGTGCGTCGGCCCGTAAAGGTTGACTACATAGAGCTTCACCGCTGGGTTGGGTTGACCAGCCTGCATGCAGAACCAACAGTCCAGAGTTTAGACAGAAATGTCACTTCACTGCTGCGGAAAAATACTTTATGCAACACTCTCCAAAGTGGCAACTGTGACTTATAAAGTGCTGCCAAATTAAGTGATTTCGAATGAATAATTCATTGAGAGTAGTCTTTAAAAACTTAAATGCACATATGGTTATGCTATTATGTGGAAACAATTTAGAATTTTTTGTCACACAAACTGAAAAACAGATACAAAAAAAGACAAAGAAGAAACACTACATAAATACTTAAACTAAAGCAAGTACACATGACAAACAGACATGTTAAACTTGACAATTTCAACATTATTCTGCATACAGAGGAGTCCTAGAAAAACCCTTACCTAAACAGCTTTAACACTACTGGAAACGTGCACTATGATTCCTCATTTGGCTGACCAGATGCATTTAGAGCAAAGTTTAAAGCGTTAGGGGTATTGTTTGAATTAAGTTCATATCTGCTATATTGCATTTTATTTTCAAATGTTTTCACAAACTTGACCAGGGTGTTCCTGGCCTTTCACCCAATGACAGCTGAGAAGTTTAATAGGATACTGATATGGTGCAGACCTATAAATACTCAGGTTGGCATCTGCACAACAAACTAAACTGGCCTTGAACATAGATGCTCTCTACCAAAAGGGGCACAGCTGTTTCTTTTAGCTAAGAACGCTTAGATCCTTTGAGATCTCCAGCAAATGCTGCATGTTTTACCAGTCAGTCATGGCAAGTGTCTTTTATACTGCACTGGGAGGCAGAGGGGAAGACAAGGACTTTGGCTTTTGGACAAATAGCTAAAAAGGAAGGAAAGTGGGGTCATTGGTGTTTGGTGGAGAGATGCACAGTGATCAGCTTACTTCACTGAGCTGCAGGACAGAACGGCTCAGAAGATCCTTGGTGCTCACTGTCATCAGGTTATTGAACACCTGAGTCAGTGGATAAATATCCAAAAGTCAATAGCCAAGGACCCCACAGCCATCTGTTACTTGCTCTGGCTGTCTCTGTTTCCTCTTCAACCATTTAACTACACAATTCTTATATAAAAAATAGCTTTTTTGGTGGTTATTTAAATATAGTTAAACACATGTTAAATTATTGTGATAAATTTGTTATTTCTCACGAAACACTAAGTAAATTCTTTATTCCTTTGTTGGATCATTTATGTTAAATAATATAAACAAATATTAAATACAAAATACAAATGTTAAATATGGCTTTAGAATCAGCGTGGCTGTTTAGATTTTTAGACAACTAGGTTAGCCGTTATTATACTGTTTAAGCTAAGGTAAAATATAAAAGTGTAATCATTCTTGTCTCAGTGAAAAATTCTACCCATACTGGAGCAGGAAACAAGTCACAACTCTTCACTGGCTTGTCTTGCAAGTGGTGCCTCTTGTTGTTCGTCATCAAACTCATCTACTACCAAAAAACTCAGAAATACAGAGAAGCTTCTATGTGAATAGACTACCAAAAGTCTATGTGCTGGCCTTAAATATAGTTTACACACAGATGACAAATGGTCATCTACAATTATCATCACCAGGGGGCAGTGTCATGAAAAACTCTTCTGTGGGCAACTCTTGCTTTTGTAGCTCTTGTAGTCATTCACGCTGTCATGGAAATGCGTGTTAAACAATAAAAACCATCTACTGCAATTTCCCCCATTATTCTTCCCCCAAATTCCGCTGAGGTTCCCTTTCCTTTTTCTGCCCTCTTTTCAGCCAGTTAGCATTCAACCCATACAAGTGTCAGTCCTGTTGGGCTATATGTGGTGTTGTTTTCTAAGAGGATTCTACACAAGTGCTTCTACATCACATCCATTATATACACGGAATTCTTCTCTCTGTGTAGCCAAATACATACGAAACCAGCTGATTTTTTTAAGAACATCTAAACTAAAAAAGTGTGTTACAACAACAGCAAGTAAAACACTGAGCAGAAAAAAAACCCATTTTGTATTATCACAATAACGTAAACAACCATATCTTATAGGCTACTATATTTCTGTAAATTAAGCTGAAGCATGATAGCATTGACACCAGCTGCTTTATTTTTACTTTTATTCTTCCTCTTCTTTTAGCTTGACTAATGGAACCCAATCTGTCCCCCCCTCACCCTAGCTCTAGAATTCTAGAATCCTCTTCTGTCACACCAACCCTGTGGATGTCCTCCTACACTACACCCAAAACCTTCTCTGAGGTTCCCCTTTCCATCCAGTCTGGTAGCTCCATGTTCAAAATTCTTTGTCCAAGAATCCCAGTTCTATTCTATTCTGCTCTGTTTATATAGTGAGTCACAACAACAATCACCTCCAGACTGTTTATATTGTAAGGTAAACCTCTGCAATAATACAGAGAAAACCCCAACAATCAAACGACCCCCTTTGAACAAGTACTTGGCGACAGGGGTAAGGAAAAAATCCCTCAGGGAGTGGCAACCATCTGCTGCGACCGGTTGGGGGTTGATGGGAGGAAGACAGGATAAAAGACACACTCTAATATCCCTTCTCTGTCCACATGTCCAAATCTCAGCTCCCAAACCGCTCAGTCTGAGCTGTCCCTCTGACATGCTGATTTCTATTTCTGTGCATCCTGGTCACTTCCAGTGAAAATCTTAACATCTCCATCTTTACCAGCTACAGCTCTGCCTCCCTTCATTTTGTTAGGCTCACAGTCTCCAAACCATAAACTATCGCAGGTCTCCATACCATCTTGTTAATCTTCCCTTCCACTTTTGATGGTATCATTCTGTCACAAATCACTCCTGTCACTCGTCTCCACCCACTCCACTCTGCCTGTACTCTCTTAAGTCACCTCTTTTGTTCACTGTCTGTTGACTTGGATGGTTGGCACCAGGTATTTAAATCCCTCTTCCTTTTATTTAGGATAAAGGATAATGTATGTGTGTTATATGCATGGATGTCGCCTAAGTGACGGTTACCTTGGGGTAGGGGTACTGCTTTCCTTTTGGGTATGTCATGCCAGTGAAGCGAGGTAAAGCCATGTTGGGAACCAAAGTGTCATTGAGAACCAGGAAGGCCAACCTCTCTCCATCAGGAGACCACCAGTGAGCCACATGGGTCTGGAGGATCTCCTCTGTTTGGAAAAACCAGCAGAAAGTTTTAATCATTAAATTAATGAAGGGGGGGGGGGCTGAAAGTATTAAAAATAGCTCAACATAAATGCTGTTCTTAAAGTCACAATGTGAAGATTTTTATATCGAGGTCCCAAATTTGAAGGCATCAGCTAATATTAGTTAAATTACTAACTGTACTGTAAATGGGCTCAGTTTAGTATAACGAGAAAACGCTTGTGTTTGAAGACCTAACACAAAACCAAACACATATAAGTGGAAAAAAGGGGGTGCTAGAAGAATTTGTGTTAAATTAGGTGTTAATCTGGGTTCAAGAATCACAGATAAGTAAATTACTTTATTACACAAACATAATTAAGAATAAAAGAGAAAAACAAGAAAACAGCAGTTACTGAGGTTGCTTGCCTTTTAAAAAAAAAAATTTACATAAGCTTCTTTTCTCCTGAGAGATGGGGCAAAGTGGCTAAGTGTATGCAGTGCGTGTTTGCTTAAAGCACATAAAATGACTCTTCACACCCACTGGGGAGATATGAGCACCAGAACAAACGTTATGAATATTTAATAATGGTAACATTTCTAAACACAGGAATTTTTAGTTTAATGAGATAGTGTGTCAATGCTTTGAAATTAAGCAGACATATTTTTTATTCCAACTTCCCAATAGTTAAAGCTCACTGCCACAAAGCAGTTTCTCAGCAAGTCATTACATGCATAAAGGTTTGTCTGTAATTGGCATTTTCTTGCCTGGTTTCTTCAAACAACACCCAGATAAATGTATACTCTACGCAATTTTGCTAGTCTTATTCTCAGAATGTGAAAAAATGTTTGTAGAAAACTGATAGGTACCTTCATAGAGCCAGTCAGCAATTCCATTGAAGATGACCCCGTCTTTTCCCGAGGATGTTAGCCTAAGGGAGTTACTCTTGACATCCGACTGATAATAGATGTTGTTTTCAAATATGTAGATCTACGGAGACAAAGCACACACAGGAACAACTTAATATGATACAGTAAGAAATAAGGACATGCTGCCAAACGAAAAATTGGTGCATGACTCTAAAACTTATTAAGCATGTGCCAAAGTTTGGACTGTAGCACACATGCACTGGATTAACAGTTACACTAAATGTGCACAGTATCTGCTCAGCATCCAAGCAATTCTTTTAGGATTAAAAGTGCGAGCCAGTGCTGGTAAGCCAAGTGATTAATGCTAATGTTCTGTGTACTTTATTTATGAAAGTAAGCTCTTACTCCTTAACAGCTCAACAGTAACTTTAAAATCACAAAATCTACCACTGGGATGTTAAAGTTCAGAGATTTGCCCTCAAAAAATCAGGAGGATTTCTCAAAGTCCCCAAGTCTGTGAGTGTCGACATTGGAATTGGGCCCATGTCTTACTTTTTTTTAGAGATTGTCATGCTAAATTGGCACTAGAGTTCCCTAACTCTTTTTATTTCTATTTATTTATTTATTTTGGCAGGACATGAGAGATCGGCTCAATCAATTAGATCTGGGCTACAACTTAAGCTTGGCCATTTGTTAAATTGGCACTAATAAAAGCACTAGCGATTTAGTTTCTGTTTGTATTGTATCCATGGTCGCACAGACATCTGTCATTGTATTGCACTAATACGAATGAAAACTTAAAAACCAGTCTACAAAGCCAAAGGCTGGCAAACCCAATTTCCTGTTTTTGTCTGCCACCTGGCTAATACTACACCTGACCGCAATGCCCATCCATGTGGATGGTGGGAGAGGCTGGCAGTACCGTGCTATCTTTTTCAAAGGTGTTTAGCTTGGCTTGGTGGATCAAGTCTCACCCAAAAGATCCTCACGAGTGAGCCACCCTTCGATCTCTAGTGGCACAAAAGCATCAATGGTTTCTCCAATCCAGGAGAGGTGTGTATCCATGAAAAGACTGTTCAATTGGAATGGTTAAGTACACGAATGGAGGCCAAAATGAGTTTGCTCAGTGGGGTTCTTGGGCTCACCCTTAGAGAAAGGGTAGAAGCATTGAGATGGTATGAGCTACCACTCCTTTGTCTTAGAAGAAGCCTTTCTGGGAGTTTGGTCTTCTGATTTATAGGAACTTTGTGGGCATGTTCAATCAAAAGGAGATCATGGGGCATTCAAAGACCACAGGAGTCTCACCAAATGTTGCACTGGCTCTGGAAACGTTGTATGCCCAGAGATAATGGTGGTCTTTTAAATACTTGGAGACTGTGGTCTATGTCCTATTTGGAAAAGTTCTGAACTTGTTTCACTTGTTAGAAAGAAGTAGGTTAGGGACTAAAATCTACTTGGTTTGGTTTTTAGCACTTGTTTAAATGAAGCCACTAAAAAAATCCTTGGGAAGGTTTAAGTGGTAAAATTTACTTGGGGAGGGTTTAAGCAACAGACTTTGTGGATTTCTTAGGATTTCCATGTACATGTAGCTGTCCAGAACCAAAAAATTAATTATCTCAGATCAAAGAAGTATCTGTATTCGGACCTTCCCAAAAGCCAGAAGTCTGTTGCTTTATATGATCTTACATAAGAATTCATTAGCAAGGAGCCTCTCCATGCACTGACATAACCTCACAGTCAGCAGAGCCTTCTGCCGTCTGGCTGGAAGACATCCAGATAACATCAGTCCAGTAGGCAGTCTGTGCAGCATGTGCTAAAGGGTTCTCTAAAATGTGAGGGCTTATTATTATGATTGTGAAGTGAAGATTATCAGACATTTGAGGTTTTATTGCTGCAGGTTGGATTAAATTGTAGAGGCTTGAAGTGATGTCAGCAATAACAAAAAAATAAAAAAATAAATAAAAAGGAAAACAGTTTCAAATAATCTAAACAACACAATTTCTTTTTTGGGTTTTTCATGTAACAACCGCAACAATTTCCTCTACTAACTGGAGATAGCATTCATGTAAGTAAAGCAGTAAAATGGTTGACTTGAAAATTTGTCTGATGAATTGAAAGCAAGTCCTTTTCAATTTCTTTGGAACGTTTCTTATAGTTAGGAATGTGATGCGGAATTCACAGTGCTTTAATAATTAATATGCTACACGCAATCTCATACTTCCCCATTGTGCAAGAAACTATACAAATGTTTTCAGTACCTGAAATAATTTTCAATATTTGACATTATATGAAAATGGGGATGGTTCTAAACAATAAGAGTAGATGGTGACATTATGGGGTTTAAAATGTATAACATAATCTGCCACAATTTACAATGTATGTATGTATAAGGAAATTTTAAGTTCTGGTCATTTAAAGGTTGTACTATTTTACAGCAACCATGCTGTGTAAAACAGGGACAGTCCATGCTTCCGATATTCCCTGTAAGTATCCTACTTTAAATAGGCTCAAAAACCAAGATAGGTTATATGTATACAGTAGACTTTGTAACAATACAAGCTACTACAAAAGAAACATGTTTTGCCAAAGTTTAATAAGTTTATTAGTAAAATTTAAATATATGAATCAAGGCTGCGTTTAAAAGTAAAAATCTGTTTTCTAGCAACAAAGGAAATAAATGTACTATGGCTAAAAAAAGAGAGAAATTGCTAAGGTACAATGGTTACCAAATTTATTAGACCAACACCCAATGTAAGGCTTTTCCCAACTACCAAATCATTTTATGTTCTTGTTATCATTTAATTATCAGTATGTGCAAGCTCTTTAATTGAATTGTTATGTTTAATGGTGAATTATAATTGTTTTTTTCGATAAATTTTCAAATTAGCCATTTCACAAAATAACAGAGCAGATTATTATTATTTTTGATTAATAAAGCAAATTTACATTCCTCATGCAATGTATGAATGTGTACTTGATTAATTTCTTCGTGGAGACTTTCAGTCCTAATAAATAATATTTTAAAACAGGTTTTTGACAGTTTTCTAAAATCTTTGTATTTCACTGATTTGGGGATTTTGGTCTATTCATACTTCAAATATGCACTAATTTCCAGTTCCATAATAGCACAGTAGGCACTCATTAAAACTCCTCGATTCTTTTTAAAATCGAGAATTGTTACGCTCATATTCTTTGCTAAAATAAGTACACTTTGATTTGGTGGAAGTTGCCAACATTATCTAAGAATTACTGGGAAGCTTAGCCATCATGTTAAAAAGTGTGTTACAATTAAAATTCAGTAAGCCGCTCAAATGGGACTTAATTACAACTTTGTAAACTGTGAAAAGTCATTATCTTGTTAGTTAGTGTCACTGTGCATGTCCAATCCATTCTTTAAGACTCTACGGTGATGAATGGACAGCACTAATACATATTCTAGTCATAACTCTCAGACATCTTCCTAATGAGAAAACACAAATTCCCAAAGAATTACTGTGAAGCTCACTTACAGCCGGTTACAGCGAAATACACGCCATGTCATTGTTTCCAAAGATGCACTTCCGCCTAATGATGCTGTGCTTGCCACTCGAGAGCTAAAAAATCCTCACATATGTCTACCTCACCTCCTTATTACCATAATGACTTCCTAATGGAGTCGTGTTTGATTTATGGTCAAATATTCCACACTCAAATTTGCAAATATGGACACTGCAGCTCTACTATGCTTTTTAAGCCTTTTAGCTGTCAACAAAACAGCCTTCCCATCTGTCCTGTACAGATACATAAAAAAGTATGATGGAAGAAAATTAGCATTTAATTAGGGTCCCCTCAAAAATGTGAACCTGAGCACGTTAAGTAGGACATTGTGAATTACAAATAGCAGCACGAAATTGACGGCAACAGGGCACAAACAAAGACAGCGTTCGGCGTGGTGGAAAGTCATGTGACACAATGTCATCCACAGGCCTGGAGCTGAAGATAAATTCCTAATTTGTGGGTTCCAGAGTCGCTGATCCTTCAAAACGCACTATTTTATTTTTCTGTAGAAACTGTGAATTGGCTGTTTACTGGATGCCAGATAAAGACTGTAGGACTCAGCAACAAATGTGCTGGCAAAAGCAAAGAGAAGCCATTGATTTTGTGTCTAAACTGATTTAACTGAGTAACAAAAACTTATAATAATAGATAAATAAAAATCGTATCTGTTTCATCCATGTAATTTGATACTTATGTTCAAAAATGAATGAAAAATATTTTAATTGGAGTAAATCTTACATATCCATGAAACAACAGGGCTGTGCAAAAGTTGCATAACCTTGTAAATGTTACAAATAAATTTTAAATATCTTTTTTTATTGTTATCTACCTGTGTCTGATACCTGATACCAAATCTAAGTGTTTTAAAGAAATGGCATCCAACCCAGTGTAGTGAAAGCAGTGCAAAGTGGAACTAAAAACAGGTTTACGGTGTGAAAAGATTCTCTATGTGTCCTCACCAGCTGTTGGCCTTGCACCCCCCAGGCAGCATACTGGAGAACTGAGTTAACCACCTCAGGAGGGTCCAGCTCCCAAACCTCCCTAAAGTAAGGAAAAGAGTAAATAGAGGATAATAATCACTCAACATCCACTGGTGGATAATGGCTAGGCTACTTTTTTAGATGAAAATTATGGAAATGTGCAATTCAATAGACCACTTGTGTGTGTGTGTGTGTGTGTGTGTGTGTGTGTGTGTGTGTGTGTGTGTGTGTGTGTGTGTGTGTGGGGGGGGGGGGGGGGGGGGTACAATGCAAAAACAATGAGTAATAACAGCAAACCTGTAAAGCCAAAGTGAATATTGTTGGGTTCCTAGGCCCCCATTTTGAATATTATTAGCTCATTGACTGACCATTAACAGTTACGACTTCCATATACAGTGGGGCAAAAAAGTATTTAGTCAGCCACCGATTGTGCAAGTTCCTCCACTTAAAATGATGACAGAGGTCAGTAATTTGCACCAGAGGTACACTTCAACTGTGAGAGACAGAATGTGAAAAAGAAATCCATGAATTCACATGGTAGGATTTGTAAAGAATTTATTCATAAATCAGGGTGGAAAATAAGTATTTGGTCAATAACAAAAATACAACTCAATACTTTGTAACATAACCTTTGTTGGCAATAACAGAGGTCAAACGTTTACTATAGGTCTTTACCAGGTTTGCACACACAGTAGCTGGTATTTTGGCCCATTCCTCCATGCAGATCTTCTCGAGAGCAGTGATGTTTTGGGGCTGTCGCCGAGCAACACGGACTTTCAACTCCCGCCACAGATTTTCTATGGGGTTGAGGTCTGGAGACTGGCTAGGCCATTCCAGGACTTTCGAATGCTTCTTACGGAGCCACGCCTTTGTTGCCCGGGCGGTGTGTTTTGGATCATTGTCATGTTGGAAGACCCAGCCTCGTCTCATCTTCAAAGTTCTCACTGATGGAAGGAGGTTTTGGCTCAAAATCTCACGATACATGGCCCCATTCATTCTGTCCTTAACACGGATCAGTCGTCCTGTCCCCTTGGCAGAAAAACAGCCCCATAGCATGATGTTTCCAGCCCCATGCTTCACAGTAGGTATGGTGTTCTTGGGATGCAACTCAGTATTCTTCTTCCTCCAAACACGACGAGTTGAGTTTATACCAAAAAGTTCTACTTTGGTTTCATCTGACCACATGACATTCTCCCAATCCTCTGCTGTATCATCCATGTGCTCTCTGGCAAACTTCAGACGGGCCTGGACATGCACTGGCTTCAGCAGCGGAACACGTCTGGCACTGCGGGATTTGATTCCCTGCCGTTGTAGTGTGTTACTGATGGTGACCTTTGTTACTTTGGTCCCATCTCTCTGCAGGTCATTCACCAGGTCCCCCCGTGTGGTTCTGGGATCTTTGCTCACTGTTCTCATGATCATTTTGACCCCACGGGATGAGATCTTGCGTGGAGCCCCAGATCGAGGGAGATTATCAGTGGTCTTCTATGTCTTCCATTTTCTGATGATTGCTCCCACAGTTGACTTTTTCACACCAAGCTGCTTGCCTATTGTAGATTCACTCTTCCCAGTCTGGTGCAGGGCTACAATACTTTTCCTGGTGTCCTTCGAAAGCTCTTTGGTCTTGGCCATGGCGGAGTTTGGAGTCTGACTGTTTGAGGCTGTGGACAGGTGTCTTTTATACAGATGATGAGTTCAAACAGGTGCCATTCATACAGGTAACGAGTGGGGGACAGAAAAGCTTCTTACAGAAGACGTTACAGGTCTGTGAGAGCCAGAGATTTTCCTTGTTTGAGGTGACCAAATACTTATTTTTACAAATCCTTTACAAATCCTACCATGTGAATTTATTGATTTTTTTTTCACATTCTGTCTCTCACAGTTGAAGTGTACCTCTGGTGCAAATTACTGACCTCTGTCATCATTTTAAGTGGGGGAACTTGCACAATCGGTGGCTGACTAAATACTTTTTTGCCCCACTGTAAATTGCCAGTAGGTTGTTGTCTCTGGCAGATTATGATAAAGTTAAGGCTTATCACCTGTTAGAATGGGTGGAAAAGCCTTTCAGTCATGTGTCGAAGACAAGAGATGTCTGTAAATGGTCTGTATTTGTATAGCGCTTTTCTAGTCCCTAAGGACCCCAAAGCGCTTTACACAACCAGTCATCCACCTATTCACACACACATTCACGGCAAGCTACATTGTAGCCACAGCCACCCTGGGGCGCACTGACAGAGGCGAGGCTGCCGGACACTGGCGCCACCGGGCCCTCTGACCACCACCAGTAGGCAACGGGTGAAGTGTCTTTCCCAAGGACACAATGACCGAGACTGTCCAAGCCGGGGCTCGAACCGGCAACCTTCCGATTACAAGGCGAACTCCCAACTCTTGAGCCACGATCGCCCTTCTGTAATAATTTTGAAAAACCAAATGGAATTATATTAAAAACTGGAGAGTGAAAAACAGCCTTATATCAGTGAGATGGTAAGGACCGATGCTGCTAAACCTTTTCTAAAGCATCTGAGCGTCAACTCTGCCCACCTCTAGTCAAATTTCATGCAACAGAAATGATGCGCAACAGTGCATTTTAATCAAGGTTGCCTCTCTACTTTAGCCATTGGTTGAGTTACAGGTGCAACAATTGTGACCTTATCAAATGGCAGCAGTGGGCCAATACATCTAAAGTCAGAGGTTAAAAAAGGAAAACAAATGTGCAAAAACAGTTTTTAGGGGAGCACCCCCCATTTTATTTATTCAATGTTTATATAGCACATGCTTTGTATCAGTTTGTTTCTTGCTTTAGCTGACAATGGCATGCACTTTGAAATAAGCCCAAGTTGGCCATAGACCCATTTGTCTGATATCAGCACAGACATGACAGAGATTAAAAGGAAATGCCAGAGCAATGCCCCAAAATGGCACAGCTTTCTAAAATAACACTCGTGTTTGAAAAGGATAATCCAATCAGCTGTATAAAGTTTTAATCTCTCTCTGATTAGTAGTCAGAATCCCGCTCATGACTGTGACTTATGAAACTGGCAGGAAGTCATTTGAGCATGTCCTGGACTGTTACTTTGGATTGAGACTTTGTGCAGAATGTTTGGAAAATCAGTCTGAAAGCAGCGGGATGCCACAGACTGCAGGCTGATCTTCAAACTTTATTTTGACTGAACATAAAATTTAGAATGGTAAAGTTTCAATACTCTGCACAAGCTAGTGAGCGTTCTGGGGATATACAAAAAATATTCCCAGTCTGTACTTGAGGTAGTCAACTTACTACTTTCCATTGGATGTGTTGTTTCCTCTATTTGACTGCAATTGATACAGTTCTTGTACTTTTTGCACTTGTGTGTAATTTTACATTGCAGAAATGTATAAACCATAAAGGTGGTTTACCCCTTTGCTCTAAATACATACACACCCATAAAATCTGTCTTTTGTTTTAGTGTAAAAATATAACAAAGATCATTTTGCAATTTAGGATTAGTTCAAATCAATGATAATCATACTAATTATTAACATTAAATTGTACATCTAAACAGGTAGTAATAGTAGTATTAGTAGTAGTAGTAGTAGTAGTAGTATCTACTTGCACTGTGAAGTTCTGTGCAGGTTTGCAACATTAGGCTGAGTCTGGGTAGAGAGTACAGCCACATGCACTTCAGAATTCATTCAGCTCCTCTATCAGCACTCACATCATCAATAAACACCAGTGATGCAGTTCCTTGCTTACTTACAGCCACACAACATAACATCACCTCCACCATATGTGAGAGATGATGTGGTATGCTTCTGCTCATGACCTGTTTCTATCCTTCTTCATATTTTCTTCATCCCACAACAGGCTGATAGCACATGGAAGGAAAGCTTATGCAGTGAGGACACTGGCAATGGCAGCTTACGCCTTTCCATTATCCAGTGGATTTGAATTTCTGCTCAGCTAATTATTCAACAAAATAAATGTATTCTAGGTGAACAATACCCTGACAGCCACGATGCTGAAAGCACCTGTCTAATATTGTGTATACCCTGTTGGAGTAGCTAAAACAACTGTAACCCCCGAAATGCATTGGAGATGACTCCATTGTGTTTCAGCTTCGCCTGAGCTGATTGCATGAACTCAATTATTGCGATTCCACCAGATGCGCCACTGTGTGTGATGTCTCACAAGTGGCTCTCTGGTGTACCCCTCTCCCCACTGGATGAACTTTGGGCCTGCACTATGGCCCAGTATAAGATAAACAAAGATGATTTCGAATCATGCAAATAAACTCCAGTATAGCACAAGAGGAAACTCTAGGCAGGCAGGTTTCCCTGAACATGTGGGGCCCTTAGAATGCAGCTTGGGTCTGCTTGTTTATTAATCTCAGTCAGCTAACATCTGGAACAAGACAAACAATCCAAATAACAGACATACAGTTTGTTTCAAGCGTGTCACAGCATGTAAATTGATCCCACAGTACTCTATTCATTGTACATAGCTTATATAAAAATTCCTGTGTTCTACAAATTTGTCAACCCCTGTGAGTCATGGATATTTTTCCACTAATGACAGGTGTTACTACCAAAAAGGTTGCCCCTCAGTAACCGCTGAGGAACACTTACCGAGTGTGAATATTGTAGATGCTGTAGGAGGCCATGTAGGAGTGGCGATAAACCTGCAGTAAAATAAAGAGAGAATGGAAGAAAGATTAAAATATGACTGAAGCGTTAACGAGAGAAGCAGAAGTGTCACGATAATGACATCAGGACAAAATAAAAATGAAAAGAAGAAAGGCATCAAAGAAAACAGATTGCTGGCTGTTCTCTGTGATAGAATCTGTAGACAATGCAATTTGCATGGGTGACAGCTGTGGGACGAGACATTTTAATTCCATCTGAGAAACCCATCATCGCCGAGTGCCTATGTGCTCAAAACTTGGGAGAGACAGAGATGGAAAGGAGCGAGGGAGAGGCATTCAAAATGACAGAGGGGTGCATGTAAACTGTCTGAACCACCACCCGCCTACCCCCTCTGGAGAAGCTGTGCTTGACATGATAATAGACCTCTGACCGTGGCTAGTGATCGGGGACAGAAACAGCCCAGATTTTTGCATTCCATCAGGAAAAAGACACTCAAGTATTCAGCTCTGATACAAAGAAGCAGAGGAATTTTACAAGCGCCAACTCTGACATGACATTCTGTACTAATGTAAATATTAGTGCAGATCAGAGCTGCAGTTGACTGGGAATTGATGTAAGCCGAGACATAATGTTATTCCACTCATCAAAATGAGTACAATTGTTTCACCAAAGGTAGTTAGTATTGTCATTTTCCTTGATTGGAATGGATGGCTGAGTGGATGGATTGATGGATAGAAGTCTATTTTTTCCTTTCCCACTATATTAAAGTTTAGATTTACCTATAAAAGGACATGAAGACAACAAAACCTTCCAAATGGTCAGTGATATATGCTTGAAATCTTATGGTCCACTGTTTCAAGGCTGTAAAACAATATTTTTTACAGCCTTATTATTTCTTTCTCTACAAACAAATACAAAAACAAGTACAAATCTATTTACAGGTGAACCAGTTTCATCCCCAAACTTTATGACTTTTTCATAACATTGAAAATAGATAGATAGAGCACTCGATCTTCAGCATGATCCAGTATTATTACTTTATCCTCAGGCATCAAAGAGCCTTATCTGAAACAACAGTCTGAAAACTAAGTGAGAAAACTAAAAGGGGAAAAAGGAGGAAAAACAAAGTTTAATGACATGAAATCTGCATAAAGGTTATGAATTCTGCAGAGCCCCAGATGGGGGCTCTCACTAAAATAGCCATGACAAGTCAACATGAGTGATCTCCCAAGCTGGAAGGGAAGTTGATCTAACTCTGACGACTCTGACAAATGCTTGTGCTCCCTGTTGTATGCTGCACAGCAACTGAGTAGAAATGAAGATGACACAAGCACATTTCACAACATCTGTGACATTTGCACTGTGTGAGGGCTTAAAAAGAATCCAGGCAAAATCCAACTACTAGCAATAATGCAGACAAACTCAGTGACAAGGTTGATAGACTACATTTCAGCTAACTGTATACCACTAAACTTATATTAAGATATGCTTAAAAATGTCCATCCATCCATTCGCTTCCGCTCATCCTTTTCAGGGTCGCGGGGGGCGCTGGAGCCTATCCCAGCTGTCATAGGGCAAGAGGCGGGGTACACCCTGGACAGGTCGCCAGTCTGTCGCAGGGCCAACACACAGTGACAGACAACCATTCGCACTCGCACATTCACACCTAGTGGCAATTTGGATTATCCAATTAACCTATAACCCCACAAGTTGCATGTCTTTGAACGGTGGGAGGAAGCCAGAGTACCCGGGGAGAACATGCAAACTCCACACAGAAAGACCCCGGCCTGATGGTGGAATTGAACTCAGGACCTTCTTGCTGTGCGGCAACAGTGCTAACCACCGTGCCACCGTGCTGCTTAAAAATGTCTAAAATCTTTTAGAATTCTTACATACAAATTGTCCAAGTGAAGAAAAGGAGAGACTTGCCCTTAGAAATTGTTTGTGGATGTTATTGCAAGACATACTCTACACTCCAGTGGCACAAATGAGATCTTTGATTTGTCCCCGGTCAGACTCATGGGGATGAGCCAGAGGCTACGAAGACTCATCGTGGAAGGTGTTGTCCAAGATTTACTTTGACCCATTCCTTCAGGCTGTGCAAGCCAAGAAGAGACTAACCAATTTAATCTTTTTTTTTTTTTTAAATACCTTATGCCTCCTGGCACGTTTTCTCCCCGGTACCCTGTGACAGGAACATAACTTGACTTCCTCAGCTTGTATTACTTGGTAAACATTGTTTTCTCACAGATACAGAGCTTCTCATAGATGTTATGAAACATATCCTCCATCCAAAAATGTATTACTATATGGACAAATCCATATATATATTTATTTAACATATCCCAGCAATATAACTGCCCGCTTCAATCCTAGGAAGAGACACAGATCCCTTTGGGGCTGCGTCAGGAAGGTTATCCAATGTAAAGAAATCTGCCAAATCAAACATGCAGAGCTACCTGCTGCGGCGATTCCTTTTGAATGAGTAAGCAGACAAAAATAGCTTCTTTATCCTTTTAATATAAACTGAGATTTACGCATATAGAACACAACAAAGAGGCAATCACTGCTGTAGCTCAGAGTTTAAATTGCTTTGTACAGTGTGTGGTAATTATGGATGAAATATAATGTTCCTGTTTTAAGAAGCTACAATTGAATTTGTTAGAGAAGGTATATGAAAATGTGCAGACTTCACATTAAGAATTACAGTGAGGCAGGCATGCTAGTTCATTTATTTCAGACATGAGTTATGTGACTGTCATTGATATGGATTTGTGTATTTACCGCATGCTGTGATCACATTCTCTTAAAATATTGAATAATATAGTTTATTTGTCCAAAAAGCTTATAACAGCCCAAAGGTAGATGTCGTGCAGACATAACAACATCTTTAAATCATTTACAATAAAAACTCTTCAATACGTAACAGAGTTCATTTTGTGTAATGTGGTTCATGGTTGTTTAACAACTATGTGGTGCAAATATCTGTGTATAATTAAAAAAAGACTTTCGAGTTGTCGCGTTCATTTTAGTCTACAATTGTTACAGTTTGTCCTTTTTTAATTCTAAGGTTTTATGCATTTGGGAAATAATAATAAAAAAATAATTTTGTGTTTACAAGGTTCTAATTTTTCAAATTCTAACCAGAGAAGAACAACAACCCTTGAGTACAAGTACACTCCGTGTGAGTAAGTAACATGAACAATGATTGGTAATTGTTTCCTGTATGACTTTACTTTCACTCTGCCACATCATTGTGGAGGAGTTTTGGTTGACTCTTTAGTATTTCTGCATTTCATTGAGGTTTGTTGGCATTCATTTATGCACCCCACCACCATGCTTGACAGGTGCAGCATCAGGTGTTTGGGAAATACAAAAAACTGCATATTTTTGTTCATTATTGCTAAATATTTATGTCCTGGTATTATATGCCAAAAGCACATTGTTCCAGAAGTTCATGATTAGATACTATCTAGAATGTTTTCCATGTGTGACAAATTTTTCTCATTGTAGAACGATGAACTTCAGATCGTCCATCAGTCCACAAACACCTGGATGCCCCTGACCAACAAACTGCCAAAATTTCTGTTATTATAGACGTGGTCACTTGCTCATGACCTGCCACTTACCCCCTTAATTTTTTATTGCCGCACTAAGGATTTATTTACTTTTTCACACGCTGCTTATGTATCTAACTTTTTGGGGAAATAATTGACAAAACATGCTATTTGTTGTTGAACACATGAGGTTGTAATTATCTAATTTTAAGATCTGCTGAGACCAGATAAATTTTATTATATTTTTATATGTAAAAAATTAGAAATGACAAAGCCCATACTTTTTGTTTCACATGCATATATGTATTTACTTTTAAAGAACAAACCATGAGGATGTTTCAATCAAGTCCAAAAACAGGAGGGAAAGGAGAGAGAATGCGTTTTTGACCTTGTGCTTAATACATAAAACTTAATGGGTCTTTATCTACCAGAGTTTATGTCTGTTGCACTGAGATGACAAGTTATTGCAGGTTTAAGCTTTTTTTATAACGGTATGTCGGCTTTCCCTTAAATATGAAATGGCATAATAATAGGTTCACTTACTAATGAGGATTAAGTCTAATCCCTGAAGAAAACATCACTATATTTTTATAAGAGCACTTGAGGAAACAAAGCAGATGTTTCTTACAATCATGGAAGTCAAAAGACATTTTGAAAGACTGCAATAAAGCTTTGGTTATGATGCCTAAAGCACAACCAATAACAATAAGTTGGAACATCAATAATAGAGATTCCTGTTCATCAAGAGAGTGAATTACTGGTTAGAGAAAAGAAGATTCACCAAGGTCCAAGTGACTTATATCGACTTTATGCAGAGTGTAGCTTCTCAGTGCATACTGAATGTATTGTGGCTAACACTGAGGTTGAGTGTGTTCAATATAAATTTACAGGCTTTATTACAAATATCTTTCAGTATAGCGGAGAACTGTGCATGGAAGTAAAACCTGATTCTTCATAGTCCACTATACACATTTCTCAAACCCTGACAGGCTGAAAATTCCTCTTTTTTTTCTTTTTTTTTTTGACATGAAACAGTCTTTACAAGCCCCAAATGAACTTTTCAGTGATATGCCATTAATTTTAGGTGTAGAGCACACATGGGTATGGTGACCTTTGTTGCCGACTTCGTAATAAAACAAAAGGTTGTGACATTTTCAGCACTCAATGCTGTGAAGAAGAATTTAATGTCAAGAACCGAACGTACGGATGCAAGCTGGATGTTTAAAAAAAACACCTTTGACAACATCACAACAAGGATTCTTGTCTAAAAGGATTAAAGTACCCTCTTCCAAAGTTTAATTATCTAGTGATTTCAGTTTTTGTAACTATAGCTAAAAAAACAACAAAAATCTTAAGGTCAGTTGTTATCTGTAATTAACTTTTTTTGGCTGATAAAGCAAAACACTACAGATCACAGGTGTCAGCGTAATTAATCTTAAGCTGCAAACTGAAAATGTGATAAAAGGTATTAGATATGA